CGTGCATGAAATTTACACTTGCGGCCCCGCATTCAAGCAGGCCAACGCGTTTCTGTGGACATTTAAACTTTCTTCTCCCAGGAAAGGTTTCAAGTGCAAACGCCACGGTTTCTGCGAACCTCGACCAGGTCAGTGCAGTTGCTCTTGGATACAGGGTAGAGACAGCATAGAGCGACCCAGGTATCAATAGCGTTTGTTTCGACCGTTTTCCAACTCGCTTTTCTCAGGTGACTGGGGTAACCGCCAGGAGCTGATAAATGAACTCGTCAGGCGGATGTGCTGATATGATGTCGGGGAGCGATTTTGTTGCAGTTGATGCCTTTCTACGAGTCTCGCTAGGTGTAGGCTGACCTGGGGTTGAAAGGAATACCGATTACAGATGCTACTGGGGAGCTTTCATCAGGGCATTGACGCTTGCAGTGTCTTTGCTGGTGTGTCGCTCACGCAAAAACTGCGGCAGAAACCTCAAACTGACTCTACACTTAAGCCGTGCTTCCTGCAACTTACGCGGAGTACAGTTCTTAGTATCTGCGTCGATTTGTTGCAGTTGCTGACCAAATGCACAACTTTCTGAAACCATATAGCTGACGATGGTGCTTCCCAGTGTACACTCCAGCCGGTAGGCTATAAGCAGATCAGGCGCAGGAGCGACTGGTCACTTTCACAACGCAAGCAAAACTGTACTGACAAGTCAGTCAGTATCAGCTAGCAACCTATTGGTGGCTGCAGTTACACTGTGCCTGAGAGTATGCGTAGGCCTCCACGGCTATATATTTGGAATGACGACCTCTTCGCCAGAGGCAGCGGCCTGCAACGTATGCCGCTGTCCGGCAGGTACAAGCCACTACTAAATTAAAGAACTTATGAAGGAGTTGGAACCAAATGAACCGCGACTGCCATCTTTCAACGACCAGAAGGGAAAACCATGAAGGCACGCCAGCTGATGTGTGAAGCAGTCAGCAGCCCTTCTGCCTGCCCACGCATTCGCACGCTTTTGCGAGCCGTCGAGCTAGCTCTCTCCAGCCTAGCTACACTAGTTACGTGCTCCATTGTGAGCCTATGCCGAGGGCACTTCAACTTCCCCAGAGTCGATCTCTGCCTGGACAGCAGTAGGTGCCTTGCCATCAACGGTGCAGCCAATTGAGGCGCTACAAGCAAACGTGCACAACGCACGAAAACCACAGACATAGCATGAGCAGTCCCAGACGCAATATTGAAACCCTGCAAAAACAAAACCTACACTCGACTGCTCACCAGGTGCCCAAGATCTCCTTAACCGTGCCGGTAAACTCGTGAGCAAGCGACTTGGAGCGCATTGTGCGTGCGATCTGGAAGACCTGCTGCAGTGTGAGGTTGCCGTTGTGTTTAATGTTCTTGACTTTTTTCCTGTCCCTTGGGGGCTCCTTAAGCTCCTTAATAATCAGAGACGAAGCCGAAGGCATCACCTCCACAGTAGCCTGACGATTCTGCACCTTCAGGCAAACTGTAACTTTCAGCCCCTTCCAGGCCATAGTCGCCTTTGCAATATCGTCACCGACCTTCTTGGGTGACATACCTGTGTACGGATGCACAGCACAAAGCCACCGCCTGAATCGGCAATACTGCCTTCCCTGCAAGGGAGATCTACCTCCCCGCCTGGTGTGACATATGCCAAAATACGAAAGAGAATGTCTCTTTTTTCTCACCCAGCGGCCCCAGTTTCGGGGCAAGGACCGAAGAGGCGCCAACCTCACCGCCAGTTTGGCGGAGGTAAACTGCAGACAACAAACGCAGAAATGTTCGGGGTGTGTGTATCAAATGCCAAACCAAATCATTTTTACTCTATACAAAAAAGCTGCAGCATTCCGAAGCTTTGTGAATCGTTTTAGACGGGAAATGTCGCCACGCAACTTGCCGACCTCCTAAGCATGCAAAGCGGCGAAGGCGAGATAGTTGCTAACGTTCCCGAAGGCAGTGCTGCTAAATTATGAAGACTGCACTGTTAAAGCGTGGCAAGTCGCTTCTCATGCGAGGAGTCGCTTTGTGAAGGGGAAGGAAGCTAGGGCGGGGCAGATAACCAGAATGGAGCGGCGGTGGGGTGCCTCACTGTACTTGATCTCATTAGGGTCGAATTTCTTGGCCATTTTCAAGAAGGTGCTCCCCCAGAGGCGAATTCCACGAAAATAGCCACAAAATAAGAGCCCCACAGAACCAAAAGTACAATCAATGTGGCAAACGCCCGCCCAGAGACCAGAAGCCCGAGAGGCTGCTACTGGGCTGCAGGCTGCTGCTGCCAGTCGTGCTGGGCTTGGGGCTTTCTGTGAATTGATTGTTGTGCAGGTACAACCGGAAGAGTAAGTGTAACCTACAGAGTGACTGCTCACAATTCCTGGAGGAAAGCCGAATGGCGTTGCAGTTCAATTCTTCTTTAGCCTCAACGATGACTCGTGTAGAGCCAGGTGTCTGGGCTGCCTACCTTTTGCACCATTGCATGTGTATAGTATTTCCGCTCGCGTCAGGAACCCATTTCCTCCCTGTAAAATGAAATTTTTTGCAAAGGAAATGTTAGCGGCACATAAAGTATCGATGATGAGGAGTCATTGCGAGGCTATATGCCCTGCAGTTCTACTTGCAAATGGTTGTTTGATTGTTGGTGCGGGCTCTGGTGCTTGCTTACACGGTTCTGGCCTGTATGAATATTTTGCATAGATTCCCTAAAGGCTTTAGCAGTGTGTTGCTCGATAGATGCACGGGACCTGATATTACGAAATGTGGTGCAGATAGTGCAGGCAAGGGTCAGGAAAAGCTAGGTTTCAACAGTTGGTGCCCCGGGAAGGAAGAGCTGAGTGGAAAGTGTGGAAGGAAATTAGTTGATCTCGGAGATTCGGAAGATCTGCCACTGCCCAAAGCACCGGTACTAGCAGTCTATATTCTAGATGCCGGAGGGATTCGTTCGACAGAGGTTAAGTGCAGAGGGCAGATGGCGCCCAGGTCGACAAGCATTCTCGTTTCGACCCCTTTCGTAGCATCTGTCTACGGAGAATGCTTTAATCGCTCAATGTTTGGTGCTGCCTTCGGTGCGTGGAACGTCACCTACGCAACATTGCCTAGACAAACAGATCGATCCGAGTTCTTTCAAGAGTCTTTTCACTAGTGAACTGTTGACAGCATTCCTGTTAAGCGGGATGAATGGGGACCATACCCTTTGCAAGTGGAATTACGCCTTTACAGCGTACATAGGATACTTTCAAAGCATGCTACACCAGCAGCACCCCACAGGGTCTTGCTCATTGCAGGCAACACCTCATTACATTTTGGGGTTTGAGACCGGGTATACAAGAGAAAGTTACTTGCACTGAGTTCGTTGCTCGGGGCGTCGCAAGCCCGAGCCTTAAGCTAGACAGAAAGCCGCCAAAACTTCCCGGTAGAAAAGGCTTAGAGAGGGCAAGCTCACGAAATTCGTTGCTTAGGTTTTGCCGTTTGAAGAATGTTTTTGTCGCTGGAGGAGAGGTTTGATTTTGCGCATCGCCTTTGCTGCCTTATGACGTCAATATTGCTTGCATCAACTTTTACGTTCAGTTCAGGAGATGTATGCACTTTCGTGACACGACTTCAAAAGTCGCAGTTTCGCTGTGGACGCGTGCCGCTGCAGGTAGCAGCAAATTTGAGTTGTATGCTGTTGTGGGGAGCAGTATTTTCTCGTTGAAAAGGTTGCTGCCATGCGAGGTAGTACAATGACACCACTAGACTGTCAGCGAATACGAGGATGGTAATGATCCCTCATTGCTGTAGACTGAACATTCGTACAGTGGCTTTCTGTACGAAACATGTGGGCTATTGTATGCGATATGTAGATTGGTCATTTTCTCCCTAGTAGGGAGTTGGTATCCGGCCGTTTAAAACGCCTGTCAACGCCAGTCACCTGTTCATTCCACGTCACAAGCCTGCGCACTAGGTAGGAGGCATACGTGCTGCAACATGACGAATGCACAGCAGGGTCTCAGAGAGCCCTTCTAATCTAGGAAGGATAGTGTGTAGACAGAGATAACCTATTTCTGCCAAAATACCACCATTTGAGCGCGTATGCCGGTACATGTTGCCTGTCCTCGGTGAAGTGTAACGGTTGCAGGAATTTTTCACGGCAAGTCTTGGAACTTCCAGGCTAGCAGATACGATAAATATCTCTCTATGCGCTTATAAATTATAGTGCGCCCTTGTTTTGATTTTCACGGGTAATGGTGGTCCATAAAAAACCCATTGGCTCTTTGCCCTAGTCCGACGCATGTCCTTTCATTCCCTCGAGAAGCCGAAACTTTGGATGGAATTTACTGGACATTTGTAATTAAAGGAGAAGTTACTGATAGAAGAAATATTTGGATATTAGTTTTTGGAGGAGAAGTGCCATTTGTGTTGCGTTCAAAGGTATGTGTTCTACTCAGTGCCACACTGGCTAATACAGACCGTAGCAGTCGGTTTGAGCGACGGAAAGAGAAGTGTCCATCTTTGTTCGTTCTCTTCCCCTTGTTATGGCTTATGAAAAGCTATGAGTCTTAACACTATTCTCGTGCCTTCCCTCTGCGCCAAACTGCTGCGACTGTCGACCGCTGCAGGAACATACCCGTTCACTGGCCCGCCTTCCGGGGTACGAACTTCGTTTAGACCTGCTCCTCTTTCTTTTTCCTAGAGGGCACCCGCATGCAGCATTGCACCACGTTGTTCCCTTTCAGCGATGCTTTGAGTCTCATGTTATTCGGTGTGCACACACAGAGCAACACCGGAGACACCGGCTTGTTCGGCCTTCCTCTCATCGCACATTTCCTGCCTTCTCATTGCCACTCGCGTCCAGCAGTGCTACTTGTTGAATTTCTTGCTACGGGTATATACTGGAAACACCTTCTAGCCTCTCCGAAGAGCACTCTGGGGTGGGGGGTGGGGGGCGAAGCGGGTGTACACCAGACTTCGCCCTTCCTTACGTGGATCCCGACACATAGGCCTACTGTGGACTTGCATATCGTGGCACGATGTTGGAGTCAGTTGTTGAGCGGCTGCTAAGCCGCTACCTGGCTCCTTACGTGCAGGGCATCAGCAAGGAAAAATTGTCTGTGGCCGTGTGGAGCGGCAACGTTGAGCTGACAGAATTGTATGTAAAGCCAGAGGTCTCTGACCTACTAGGCATTCCTTTCAAGCTTGCCTGGGGCCGCATAGGGAAAATTACCCTCAAGATTCCTTGGGCTAGCTTGGGCTCATCTCCCGTATGTGTGGACATCCAAGATGTGTATTTAATGCTCGAGCCAAAACCCATTCCCCGGCAGGCGGACGCAGAACTGCAGCAGCAACTCAGACTTACCAAAATGCAGCAAATAGAAGCTTGTGAGGGTCAACTCCAGGAAGTTCGGCAGCAGTTGCAGCAGCAGCTGCAGCAGCAGCAGCAGCAGCCGGGGAAAGACGCCGAGGGAGGTTTCTTCTTTCGCCTCGCTAATAAGGTACTCAGTACGTTGCAGGTCAGCATCAAAGGTATTCACCTTGCTCTTGTAGATCACGGGAGGGGATTCAAAGCGGGAATACTGCTGGAATGCATGTCTCTGCACAACACTGATGAAACATGGACACGCCAAGACCAGCAACAGCAGCAACAGCAGAACTTTTACAAGGCTTGCGAGCTGACAGGCCTAGCCGCATATTGCGCGCTGGACCAGAAAAAGGTAGCGGCAGCAGCAGCAGCAAGGGACACCTCGGCAACCGAGCTCGAGGAAGAGTCGGAAGTGGATGCAGAGCTACACCTCGGAAGTCCTCAGACCTTTTCTAAGGGGCCTCAAGTAGGAGCGTCTCCTGGATCTGCCTCAGAAGAAGGGAAAGGCAGAAGCAGCTCTCCAGAGGAGGCTCACGCTGTCAGCACAGAGCTGCATGACGAAGAGCTCCAAGGCAGGTCAACGGAGACCCCAGCAACACAGGTATGCCCAACGGGGATGGAGACATGCACTCGGGGTTGTGAACAGCTCGCTATCTAGCCATCTGTTATTCTGCGCAGCTCTTCGTTCTAGCTGCTAAATAGCGGTGTGCTTGTTGCTTGTGGCTGTCGGGTCGTTGCATGCGGTGCGCTACAGACAGAAAAGAAGGCAACCGAAAGTGGGAGCCCCGCAAGAACTTCTTCCTTCTCTTTTGAAAGCCCTGTTGCCTCTGGCGCACCTTCGAGAGAACAGTCACGGCAGTGGCATCGCCAGTCCCCCGCGTCCTTAGGCGGGACAGGAACGTCAAGTGCACGGGCAGCGGCGGCTGCAACGGGAAGAGCAACAGGAACCGAGGGCAGAAAGACAGGACGCTGCAGGTATATCCTGAAGCCCCTCCATGTGCGCTTGACAATAGCTCATGCAGCAGCAAAGCACGAGTTCTCTGCTCGGCTGGAGGTCTTGAAGGAGAGCCATGGAGTGGCCATAGGGAAGGCTCAGTTAGCAGCTTTGCTGCAGCTACTGCATGAAGCCGGAGCTCGGCGAAAACGCTGCGAGAGACTGCTGCTGCGGGAGGCGCACACAGTGTGCCTTGCTCCTGAGGACCTGGAAGGGAATGGAAAGACTCAGCGGGAGTTTACTGCGCTGTATGGACGCCAGGTTCAGGTGGAGGCAGGGGTCAAGGGCGTACAGCCATTGACAGCGAAAGAGGAGAGACGTTTGCAGGTGCTTTATGACGTTGTGGGGGTTCGCCATGTAAGTCTTGCAGGGCTCCTGAGGTGTAGAGGCTTGCAATACGTATCTGCATCCAAAGAGGGTTAGGTACACGACAACGTCCCTCAGTGACGCAGCAGAAAGCGAACCGTAGAGGAGGGGATGTTGAATGACTCGAGTTTACGAGATGATAGAGGGACACATTAGAGGCCAGTAGCACGTGCGACTTCGAACTTGATGTTTAGAACTTAGCTCTGGTACTTTTTGAGCATGCAGCTAGCGAAATGGCGGAGCATTTGTAGAGAAGCAACAAACCGAGTCCTAGAAGAGACACAAAAGGTGCACGAATTGAGACACCCCAAACCCCCGCCAAGGAGATGGTGGCAGTGGACCGCAGGGCGGGTTCAGCCGCAGCAGCAAGATGAACAGCAAGAGGGAGACGAACAACCGCTCATAACTCAGGAGGACATACAACTGATCATGGACTCTGTGCAGGCAAGTCAGGCGCCAGCGAGATACCGAAGCAGCATAACAAAGGACCAAGAGAGGGCAGAGAGACACACGGGCAGCCAAGATATCCAGGCAGACACAGGCATTCTTGTTTCAAGCTTGAGCGTTACTTACGGTGTAATGCAAAGTGTTAAGCACGCAGGCTGTAAGGTCTGGTCGTGTTTTTGTGCGCAGAAGGACGAGATTCTGCAGGGTATGGATCTGCCCTCAAAGTACCATCTAAGTTTTGATTTGTTACAGTTTCGGGTGTCTCTGGAAGATGACGAAGATGAAGAAGGCGTGTATAGAGAAGACAGTGAATCTCAGATACCCCTACAGAGGCCCTCAGATCTCCCAGATGAGTTCCCGCTGCCCCCACGGGAATGCACGGCGCTTTCACCTGCTATAGAAGCAGCAGGAGCGGAACAAATACCAGCAGAGAACCTAACAACGGAGACAGTAGCACCAGGGACGGCTGAAGGGAATTTTTCATCTTTTATCTCTGTGTCTCTTCGTGGCCTTCGCGCCTCCTTAGACTGCTGCAACCGTCAAGATTATTCAGGAGAAGACAACGCAGAGTGGGCTTTCTCTTTTTCTCTGGCAGATTTCACAATCTGCCAGAAGAAGCACGCTCTCGTGCACTTCCGCAGCGAAGGAGACAGCAGTAGCAGCACTAGCAGCCCCTACGGCAGAACGCGCGTGGGTATATTCGGAGAGACAGGAAAACTGATGCAGCTGCCATCAGCAATATTGCGTGCGTCTCCCAACTCTCTAGCAGCAGCTAGGTTTGTGCTGCAGCACCAGCTCACCCCTCGGGGGAATATCCTCTGTGTGTCTATCCATTTGGCCCCTGTTGTGGCATCTGTGCGCCCGGACCTCCTGAAGACACTTTGCGCCTTCTTTGTTTTTGACACCCCAGACGACGTCAGGCGCTTAGAGAGCGCTGAGTCTTCTAGCTCTTCAACAGCTGTGCCCAGAGTTCCCTCAAGTGAGCCTGCTGAGAGCACAGCAGCCGCTGGCTCTTCAGATAGCGAGGCGCCAGAGCAGCTGCAGCGGGACCTCGGTGCAATGCGTGCGCGAGAGTTCGTGGAGGGGCTGCGAGAGAAGGGAGAGACAGTGTATGCTGCTGCCGTGCATCGCCTGCCGGCGTTGCTGCAGCTTGAACTTAATATTGCTGCTCCAATTTTCCACTTCGACTCGCTGGCCGCGGGCAGTGTGTCTGTGCATCTGGGGACATTGGCGCTGAAGACCGATGGACCCTGCCCGTACGACTCTCTGCGGGCCATGGTAGACCTCAATGAGACGCGGCTACTGTGCACTCCTAAAGATGCCCGCGAGGTGTCTCTGCTGCGTCCTATCCCGATCCACATGCATTTACAAGTTGAAAAATTGTGCCAGATAAAACTGGACGTTTCGTTTGAACATATATACGTTGAGGCTACGCCAGAGGCAGTCGCCCTCCTGCTTGCGGTCCCCGCTTCACTGGCCAAGTCCGTCATGCACCCATCTCTTCCGCCAAACGCTCTTGCAGCTTCAGTTGCAGCTTCGGCTGCTGCTTCTGCACCAGCCGCTGTTGGTGGGGTTGAGGAGGCTGCGAAACATGGCAGCCGAGTCCCCTCTGCAGCTGGAACGGCTTTACAGACAATCAAAGAGATTCCAGCAGCGCTGCGAGCTGCACCAGCCTCCCCTGACGACGATAACAGGAGCAGCAGCAGCAGCAGCGACAGCTGTAATGGCAGAAGTTTTGTCCTTGAGTCCACGTGGCGGTTTAGGCAGTGCGGATTTATTGTTCACAGCAGCAGTGGTACAAACGAGAAGGGGGTGCTGAAGGCCCAGATTTCAGATTTGGAGGTAGAGGTTGGGGCTGACTCTGGAGAAGGAACCTGCAGTGTGACTGCAGCGCTAAGAGATGCCTTTGTTTCTGACCCCTCCACGGACTCGCTGCTCTTCCAGTCGCTTGACCAGCAGGTACAGATTCATTTGCACTCTTTTCCGGGCTAAGAGCTGTAACGTTGACTTAATCGTTGCCGTAAACCTATATTAAAGATCCCGAAAAAGGGTATCTGACCAGATCTCTCTAACTTTCGCTATAAAGCCGTACGACTTTGTCATGGAGATGAAGCTACAGCAAATGGCCCGCTGCGGTCTCCACTGGGCTGCCTGTGTACTACCGGGCCTTCCCGTTCACTGCTGTATGTTTATGTCTGCTTCTCCTGTTTTTTCCGTGCGAGGCTTTTGCTTTGGATGGCTGTATTGCTAGTGCGTAATTATTGGGATTTTGTTTCTCTCTCTGCTTCTCTCAAGGCGTCGAGTGCCGCCATCTCCCCACAGCCGTCTGTGTCCATAGAGCAGTATAGGAGTGCGCTGTCTCACGCTGACACGCTAGGACAGCAGGCTGAGGCTTTCCACGACGCCTTAGATGAGCCACTGGATGAACCTGAAGGAGGAGCTGGGAGCGTACGTAGCCTGCGACTGTCTCTTAAGTACAGCAAGGAAGGTAGCCCACAAACAAAAGTCGCCCTGGTTGTGCTTCCGGCGGAGTTCCACTGGAGACAACAGTCTCTTCTTCAAATTATCCAGACTGCACAGTTGTACAAACAGCAGCTGCACCAGCAACTCTCCGCCGCAGCAGAAACCTTCACCCGACCTCCGTTTTTATCAGACGCGGCGTTCGCAGCTCTGCACGACGCTCTCCAAGCCATGCAAAATTCACTCGCCCGCGGTGACGGCAGCGACCAGGCAAAGCTCGCTTCCTCATCATCTCCTACCGCCAGTGGAAACAGCAGCAGCACCGGCTGCAGCAGTTCAGGTGACGGAAATATCAACGGAGTTCCTTGGATGCGCACGGGTATGGAGGTTGGAGGCGAGATGCCCCCTTTAGCTGCTCTCTCAGACATCAACGTGCAGCACGGGAACGAACCTTCAACCCTTAGGAGTAGCAGCAGTAGGAGCGAGATGGCCTGTTTACCCGTATCTCTTTCGCTGGATTTGACTGTTCAAGGAGCAGCCGTGTCTTTTTGGGAAGGCCGCTCTGTCTGCTGTCGCGTTGGAGTCAGAGACGTCTGCGCCCTCGTGACTGCCTACCCCAACGGGGACAGCGAGACGCTCCTCTCAATCAGACATGCAGCAGTAATCCTTAATGGCCGTTGTGTTGTAGCCCCCAGAGAGCACCAGGAGCAGCTAGAGCAACAAATAGGACAGGACGTGGAGGAGGAGAAGATGCAGCCGGTTCTTGTGTCACTAAAGATACGACAGTACGGGGGTGGGCACCCTGTAACGGGCCATCCTCTTCCATTCTCAGTTTGCGTTTCAGGTCGTGTGAATCAGATGTGTTTAGTGTACATACACCAGGACATTCAGGCCATCATAAATTACTTGGAAGACGGCATATTTGATCTGTTCATTTCTAAGTCGTACGAAGCAGTCAAACAAGCCACCACAGGCTCTCGCTCTCTCTTCGCGCTCCACATTGACTGCCCACTCTTTTTTGTACCTGAAAACAAGGCAGCGATTCCTGCACTGCAGCAACAACAGCTGCAAGAGAAACAGGAGCAGTCTCCCCGTCCAGAGAGTGAAGCTGAGTCGGTCGCTCTTGCTGTGGCGCCAGCTAAAGTTGAACTGCGTGGTCTTGGCCGATTTTTTGTCTTTAGCGCTGGCATTCTGCAAGTCAGTAATGCTTATACCCCTGTGGCTGCCAGCCCTGGTCAGGAGTGCCCCCAAGGCGGAGGCCACCGGCGTGACTCAGGCAAACACAACGGAGGAACCAGCTTGTCAGCACGGTCTGGCCAACAGGGTGAGGCCAGCGCCGTCAGCACAAGCAGCACAAGCCAAGTGCAGAAGCGGGAGCCTCGTGACGTCGCAGCAACACCAGCACAGGACGATGTAGCGTTCAATTTGAAACTAGACTTCTCAGGCATGCAGCTGAGCGCAAGAGACAATGTGGATAAGCCCCTGCGGGGCCCCGAAGCTGGTGGGGATTCTGTTAACGAGATGACTTCGATCGAGGGGAAAGTCTTAGAGACAGCCATCGTGAGTGTACGGCTGCAAGCAGCAGGGCGTGTCTCTGTGGTGGTCGAGACTTCACCCTGGTTGTTGCATCTTTCTAGGGAGCAGCTCACGCTCCTCCTTGATGTGCTTAACGAGAACCTTACCGGACAAGGATACTCTAGTGCTCCTACTACAACGGCAGTGGGCAGCAGCAGCCAAATCAGCGAAAAAGGGAGCGACGAGGCTGAGAAGGCGCTAGAGGCCACGTCGATGGAAGATCTGTCGCCTGTTCTTCGAGTAGATGTGCGCCTGTGTATCCCTAAGCTGCTGCTTGAGACGTCGGTGGGGCCCCACACTCCGCTGGCTCTGCTGACAGTACACCGCATTGCTGTCATTGCTGATGCTACCACTTCAGCAGACGCGGGCACGCAGTTCCACCTGCAGGTTACAGGGGATGTCTTTGCTGTAGACGACTTGCGGCCGAACACGGTTAACTACTACCGCAGGCTGGCTCATTGCACAGGAGGAGTGTCCGGAGACTTCCAAGGGGGCTCACGAGAGTCTCCGGGGACTTCTGATGGAGGAGATATAGAGGGAAGTGAACGCAATAACGATAGTGCTATGGATGGAGATGAAAGCTGCCGCCCTGCAGTGTCCCTACATATGAGCTCCGGAGGAGGAAGTGGAGTGATTGAAGTAGAGCTGAGAGATGTCACTTTATATGCACTTGTCGTTGGTTTCACCGACTTGGGCAAATATTTCTCTTATGCGTACGCATGCAGCACCATGAAACGGTACCCGAAACCACAAGCCCCGCTCTTGGTGGAGCGGCAGCAGAAAGAACAGAAGAGGCAGAAGCAACAAGATCAGCAAGCAAGCTCTGCACGCAGCTCGCCTCTAGGACCGCGCACAGTTTCAAGAACCTTTGAGAAGAAAGGACCGACAGCAACCCAGCCGGCAGAGTCTCAGCCATATCGGCGCAGCAGCAGCAATTCCAGCAGTGACAACAGTAGCAGCAGCACGATGATAAGCCTGCGCGTGTTCAATGGGCAGTTTGTGGTGTTCTCGGACCTGGAAAGTCCCACCGCCCCTTTGATTGTGTGGAGCGGGGACTTCTTTGTGTCTCTGATTTCTGGAGGCGCTGCTATTAGCTTGCAGCAGCTAGAGATACAGAGCAGCAAGGTCTCCCGGCTAGAGGCAGCGCCTGGTGAAGGTGAGTTTGCTGTTAGTAGTAGCAGCAGCAGCATTAGATGCATGTCATACGAGTACGCTAGGGTCTCCTCCTTCGGTACTGGGCAGTTGTTCCGTACAACACAACCACAACAGCTAACAAACACTGCAGAGGAAGGCGGCCAGCAGCAGCTAACAGGCTCGGCATCTCTTGCGGGCCGCGTTGGGCACGATCGCCAGGAGCAGCGAGGACAGCAGGATAGGTATGGAGAGGAGTGTTTGCTGGTCGGGAAGTGGCCCGATGCTAGCCGGCTCATTCCCTCCATGCTGCCTGAGGGGGCAGTGCTGCTATGTGAGAGCTTGTCAGCTCGCGGGAAAGGCATTTTCTTTGCGGCTGCAACAGATGCAGAGCTACAGCAGCATCAAGGAGACTCCGAGGAGGACGAGGCAGATAGTGACGCAGATGAGACTGATGATGTCGCAGAGACAACCCGCACCCAGCTCCCAGGGCAGTCTCGGATGTCTGCCATGCAGAGAGCATTTTCAGGGGCTGCAGCTGCCGCGACAGCTGCTGCTGCTGCGGCTGCTGCCGAGGCGCCACGCGCCCTCACGACGCGACATAGCGTGTATCTCAGCGGAGTTACTGTCCCTGTGGGGGCTGAAAGAGCGGCAAAACGGCTTGCAACGCTGACAACGAAAGTGCGAATGCAGCTTGTCGTACCCAGTGAGAAGCGCTACCCTTCCCGTCCCTTCCGAATCATTTTTCCCTTTTCTGCGGCTTTGGCTTCAGCTGATTTTTGCGCTGCCACCCTGGCGTCGCGATTCGTGCTTCTGCTCCCGTATTGTTTGCAATTGTACTGCTGGTGTTGCTTCTGCCGCTGTTGCCGTTTTAACTTTCTGCTCCAAAGCTGCACAACACCACTCTACCTGCAGCAGCAGCGGCAAGAGCGCGTCTGGGGTTGTTGCTGTTTGGTTTTTACAGCCTTGCTGAAGTCGTAGCACATAGTTATGTTCTCTTTTGCATTTGCAGAATTCTTCCTTCGTGTTAGCAGCAACGACATTGCGCTGCTGCTGAGCGCTCTGCGTGGCGTCAACTCTGATGGACCAACAGTTGCTCTCTTCCCAACTGAGATGAACCCTTCAGGAGCAGCACCAGCGCCTGCAGCAAAACAGCAAGCTGACACTGTGCCATCCAGTGAACAGCAGTCAAGCGGTAGCCTTCCGCAACAACAACAGCGGCAACAGCAGCAGCCGGAAAAGCTCCAGGCACGACAGCGCGAGGAGCAGCAGCAAGAAAACCAGTTGGAAGTTGCTCAGGACGTTCGGGTGGTTGTACAGTTGGACGGTGTTGATCTGCTGCTTTTGGATGATTTGCGAGCATCGGTTGTTCCACTGGTGCAGGCACACTTGTCTGTGAGTCAGTTGAAGGGTCGGATTTCTCGACAGCGCCTTGTGGTGTCCTTGACAGACATGCACTGCGGTTTCAGCTTTCTTAACGTAAAAAGTGGAACTTGGGACCCCTTCATAGAACAGCTGACCCTGACTGCAGTGTACAGACGGGACCTAAAACTGGAGAACAGGCTGCAACAGCAGCACCAGCAACGGCTAAGGGGTAACAGCACAAGCGGTAGTACCGCTGCAGCAGTAGCAGCTGCCGGGGGTGTCGCTGCAGCGGACCAGTGGACAAATTCGAAGGCGGCGAGGGCACTGCTAATCAGCAGCTACAGCCCGTTTTTGTTGAATCTTACGCCTCAGCTCTGTCGGCTGTTGTCTTGGTTTGTCCCTTACTTACTACAGCACATCCAGCAGGGGCCCTCAAAGGGCCCTTCGTCTACCCCTGCCTCGCGAACCGCGAGTGTGGTGCTGGGCCCCGATACCACTAAGTCAGGCTCCCCGTCTGCTTTGGCAGCAGACGCCGGGGGAGATCGAAAACAATCTGCAACAGTATCGCCTTCAGAAAGGTCTGCCATCGCTACTGCAGCTCGGGGGTATGCAGCAGATGCCGCTGCTGCTGTTGCTGCAGCGCAGCAGCTCCAAGCCAGCGGAGCCCCGTTCAGGTACCTCAACCTCACAGGAGAGTGTTTGTACGCTTTCACGCTTGTTTCCGAGCAGCAGCAAAACGAAAAACAGCAGCAGCCTGGGCAGCAGCAGCAGCAGCAGCAGGGACAGCAGCAGGATGCAGACGAGGACGAGGAGAGAGAGACAACAGGCGCGGTGATGGTGCTTCAGGTAGGGGGCTCAATGTCTCTGCCACTGGAGGCCCTCATGGAGGGTCGCACAGCTGAATCGTCGCGGAGCGCCCACATAAGGCAGAGAGTGTTCCTCGCGTTTTGTCCCCCGATTTCGGTAGTACAGCAAGTGGCAGAGGTGCTGCCCAAGGTCTCGTATGCAGATATTCTGCGCAGTCTTCTCTGCACCAGAGATACGGCGAAGACCATTGACGAGCTTCTTGGTACAGATGAGACGCAGCCTGCTATTGCTGATACATCTCCTGGAACTGTTCCCGCTACGAAGACTCCTGCCCAACAGCAACAACAGCTGAGGAGAAAGTGCGTGGGGCCTTTCCCTCATGGAATGCGGGCAGTGTTGGTAGAGGCGATGAAAAGCTACAGCGTAACTCTGATGCTGCCCAACTGTGAGCAGCTGCAACAACAGCAGGCGCCTCAGCGTACGGGAAGGCCTGCGAACTTGCTGGATGAGACGAAGCAAATGTTAAAGTCTGCTCTGCATGGGGCGGCGGTTGGAGATACGAAGCTGCCTGAAAGCAACCCAATGGCGACACGCACCTTGACTTCCCCGGCGAAGCAACAGCAGCAACTTTCACAGAGCACTACTGGAGCCCTTGAGTCTTCGGGAGCTGCACGAGGTGGGCTGCAGTGGTGTGTGAGATTTTGGCGGCACCATCACTCAGTTGAAAAATTCAAGGTGCAGCTAGTGGGGAGCAGAGAGATGCGAGTAATTTTTGTGTACTATCACTTCTTGTCAAACGAACCAGTGTGCTACAGCTATATTTGCCATGTCCTTTGTTTGGGTGTTGTGCTTGGTAGGCTTCCGCGCTTCTTGCATTTGCTGTCTTTTTCATTGTATCATATCATATGTCAGATGTGCTTCTGTATCTGTGTCTAGCAACTGGCAACGAATTTGAAGGGTGCACATCTAGTACTCGCCTTTTGCACCCCTATTACAGCAGCCTCCATTTGTTGCTGCTTGCTGTATATCTGCTACCTCTGCAGCAGGCAAAGAGTGGGCCTTTGTGAAGCCGTTGTGTTGCTGCATGTATCTATTTTTGTGTGAATCTCTGTGTCTGTCGCTACAGGAGGTACAGCGCCGAAGCATTCCTCTTTGCTTGATCTGGGAAAGTCCCTGTTGCACGTTGGAGATGCGTCCCCCAGGAGGGCCAGCCGAGGGGAATGCGAGCTTGTAGGTCAGGTGCTCAGCCCCCACCCCTCCTACAAGCTGCTGCTGCTTACCTCTACATTGATTCTGCATAATCGCAGTGGTATGCCTCTGGAAATCTGTTTTCTGGACAAGGGAAGACGACCTATGCTGCTGCCAATGGCAGCAACTGCAGCAGCACCGCTCAGCGTGCTTCAGGACCAGCCCGATACACAGCCAGGCGACACGCAGAGCTTCAAGGAGGTACTTTCACTTGATCCTCAGCTACAGCAGATACCCCAGTGGATGCTAGAAAGGCAAGAGCACCAGCAAGAGCAGCTCATGCAGGAGTTGTTATCGCAGCAAGAACTGCTCCGTCTGCTGCAACGTGCAACCGACAAAAGTGTGGCAAGTTATCCCAGCGGCCGCAAAATATCTGTTGAAGCGACTCGAAGCCGAAGGCTTGGCGGCCCAGGGTGGTCGCCCCTAGCGTTCCAGCAGCAAGAGCAGCAGACGAACAAGTATGCATACACATTTCTGCTGCCAAACCAGCACTTCATGTCAGTGCCCCAAGACGCGATCTTGGGGTCTGGATGGGCCCTCGTGTGTTTCCGCCCTGCAGCATTCGCTGCAGACAACAGGGAATCGGAGAAGGGAGAGGTGGGCTCGTTTTATTACAGCTTGCTCCTTCAATGCCCTTTAGCAGAAGGCTCCTTGCTGTAGTCCTTCAATGGCGAATGAAGCTCCTTGTACCCCACCAACTGTTATTGTTTTCATGTGTGGCTGTTCCTATTCGCATTAGAAGTTGCATCTGTCATAAGTACACATCTTCTTGCTATGCTTGCTGTGCTTGTTTTAGACGTTTAATTTGTTTACCGTCGGTTTTTGTCATGAATGTGCCTGTTCGTGCTTGTCTACAAATCCATGGCCGGACTCTATGTGCCATCTGTCACATTTTTGTTGCTGCTGCTGCTAGTTTGTGCGTTTCTTTTGCCTTCAGAGCTTGCACTTGTATCTGTTGCATCTGTTGTGTCTTTATGTCTTCTGTATCTTACAGGCCTTCCCTTCTCCACCTGACATGGTGCCCTATTCGGGCTGGTCTGAATGTATAGACACCCGGAACCGAAGTATCGGCCAACATAGTGCACAGTGTGCCTACGTGCCACCTGAAGAGCGCGGCTCTACCGCTGCAGCAGTACTTGCAACGAAAGATGCAGCAACTGCTGCTTCACTTATAAAGCGCGAGAAGGTCCTCTTTTTCCATTTGTTGCAAGAAGATCACAAGACAGCCTTTCCAGCAGAACGGATGCTGCGGACCCTCACAGTTTTCCCCTCTCTGACACTCATAAATACGACATTGACGGAGTTGGATGTTTGCGTCCTGCCTCCCACGTTGGGTGGCTCAGGGGCCCAGCCAGCGTCCACGGCTTTGCCCCACAGGAGGCCTCCCGCAGCGTCAGCAGTGCAGCGGCTGCAGGACCTGCAACAACGCCCCGTCCTCCAAGCTACGTTGACCCGGCAGTCTGTTTTTTATGTTTATGAGGTCCCTCCAAGCCTCCACCTGTCACTATGGCTGCGATTTACAATACTTGACGGGGCGCAGTGGTCGCCAATGCTCCCAAACTTCCTTGCGCCAGGGGTAAGCTGCTTACTATGGTTTAGTGTAGCTAGCTGGGCCCTAGCTTCCATTGATTACGCCGACAAACACCAGAGCAATAGCTCGTGATGCAGTTTTGCCGTCAACTTTCTGTTTCCAAAGGCTGGAAGTTGTTGCTGCATGCTTATGCTTTTCGCTGAATCTGTCTCTGGAGGTTTACCTGCTGCGCAGAACGGCGTTTGCGAGCCTTTTTTATGTGTATTTCGATTATGTCAGTCGTCGTCTGTGTGGGGCTTTTCAGGACGGTGTCGTCTCACGCATACTGCTGCCATCGGTGAATATGGCCCCAGTGGAGCTAGAGGTGCTGCAGGACGCAGCCGAAGTGGTCCCGTATCTCCCACTCCTCAGCCCCAAACAGCTCGTAGCCGTCATATCGGCCCCCCGCCTGTTTGTTGACAGGACAGGCCTCAACATCAAGCCCATACACGGCGGAAGATACTCTCCAGACTTTGGAGGCTATTCTCTCTTAGGCGATTCCACGGTGAGCAGCGAAATTTGCCTCAGTGCTAGCAAAGCCCATCAGCAGAAATTAGGGGCATAGAGTAGCTCATCGAGAGGGCTGAGCAACCTCATAGGCTAGAAAACATGGGGTTGAGGGGCCTTATAGTGCTATAGCAACGGGACAAGTTGCCTCCCAGTGCGGCCACACCGGCGACTTTCTCGCCTTGGAGCGCAGGCATAGTGATATTGATAGCCATAAGTGCATACACAGTATTCATGTTATGATTTATGAAGGGGAATACGGGTTGCTGGGCTATCTGCGGCGCGCGCACGCGCATGCGTATAATGGACCAAGGTCCTTTGCAGTAGGCAACCGAGTAGACTGATAAGTGAGGTGCTAAAAGAGACAACCTGATTTCACCAGCTTCTGGGACGCGCCGTCAGTGCCGTCCTACGTGGCGTTACCGTTTCTACTTTTCGACGTTTGTAGCTCATGTGGCCACTGCACTGGCTGTATTAAATGCGTGTGAGGATCAGCGGGCAGGTGGGCTGCTTGTTCAGAGAGAGTGTGCGTTTGTGTGATGTGCGCTGAGGTGTACACAGACACCTGAATTGTCGCTTTTCATGGTTCCACGTGGATCAGAGCCCGTGGAATGTCGAGTGGACGTCCCTGCATTGCACGGCTTCACTCAGGCGGAGATGGCCGCCCCCTCTCGACTGTATACCTTGCGGTTGAAGACCGATCAGCTCAGCATGTCTCAGACAGCAGGCAAGCCATTGTATCTTTTTTCCCTCACCTTTTGTGCAGCCACAAGTACTCAGATATAACGTAAACAGAGGAATCTAGCACCAAGCGCGGCTCACTTCAACGCAGAGGTACATGGCTTCCTAAAGGGGTTGCCTGTTTCCGTTGCGTGCAAGTTGTCCCAATCTACAGTCGCAAGGAGGATCCTGTACTGCAGTAGCACAGCAGCATGCTGTTGCGACATTCCGTTGCAGAAGCATCTAGCTGCAGCAGCATCTTGCTTCAGTCTTGTGCTTCGTGCAGATTCCCTGTTTCTTCGTTGCAGTGTTCGTTCAGGCGCGCTTTGTCGCGTGGTGTCTTTGGTGCCAGAGTTTCTGCTGACAAATTGTCTTACTCTGCCACTGTACTTTAAGCAGGACCAAACCCAAGGGCCCATATTTGAGGGTGAGTCAATTGACTGTTTGCCCCTTCATATCTGGGTAGTTGATGCCGACCACGATAAAATGGCTTCTTCTGGATGTAGGAATGTGGCTTTGCTTTTGCAACATCTGTTGCTAGTGCCGCTGTTGCCGCTGCTGCTGCCATTGCTTTGTGTCTCTGCAGTTTGCTTTTGCTGCTGTGTGGGGCTGTTTGGGAAGTGCTGTAACAGCGGCACAGGACTAAGAGTGCTGCTGCGGTAGTTGGATTCATGCCTGCTATGGTGGCTAGTGAAGTTTCTGAGTGCACTCTTGTGCACTTTCTGTGGCTGTTTGTCTGCCTTTTCTGCTGCCACTGCTACTGTTGTTGGTTTTGTTTTGCTTTGCTGGATTGCGTGGAATTGCAATGAGGCAGTTTCGTTGCTATCGTTGCAGTGCATCCGGGAGAAACACACGCAATTTTTTGGCCGCGTGAAGATCTGCCTAAGCGTTTGCAATTCGTCGTGGGTCGCGGCAAAGTGTGGGGATGGTCAGGGCCTGTTGAGGCCAGTGAGGAGACAGCTGGGAGGACGTGGGTGGCCCTTCCCACGGTCGGCAGCAAAGGGGAGCAGACAGGTGAAAAATAAGTGCAGCATTTCCTCATGCAAGTGTAGCAGAAATGTGCAAGAAAACATAGAAGTATTAATAGTTCAGAAACCAACGTAGAGGGAAGCAAGTATATAGGCAGACATGCAGAGAAACAAACAGATGGAAGAGGTGGCGGCAAGAAGACCAACACTGACATGTGCATGCGTAACCTCATGCGGTAGACAACGGGGTGCTGGAATTCAACTCGCGTATAAAAAGGGCAAATTAAAATCCAGAATAAAAACGCTAAGGGGGCGGAAGCCAATCTCCAGCCACACAAGTACACGGAAGCCAATGTCCAGCAACACGAGTATACAAACAAACACAGACAAGGATGATCAAAAGCAAAATGACGGATATAACATAAAAGCGACGCAGGGTGTGGGAAGCGTAGATAGGCAGAAGCCGCCACCGAGACAAGCACGGACGAACTGATACATCGGCAAAAAGCACCATTGTTGCGCATGTTTTGAGCCTGAACTTCTGACTCTCTTCTCTCAGCTTCTCACGCGATTGGCCATACTTGGTCCGGTTTGTGGCTAGATAGCGGTGCTTGAAGAAGGTTGTTCATCCACTTCTTTAGATTTTTTGTGGAGATATGGAAGTTGGTGCGTTCGTTTGCGGTCTCGTTTGGGTGAAAAACGCGCAGAAGTGTACGCCGTAGATGTGGCGCCTGAGGGGGGCGTGAAGGGGATCGCTATACGGGGCCCAGACACACCAGGAGCATTCGTTGTAAGAAACAACTGCTCCATAGTGCAGCGCGTCATGGTCCACACCTTCCACGCTGAAATGAACAGCAGCAGCAGCAGCAGCAGCAGGCAACAGCCAAGGCCTTCAGAGGCGGACTGTCACTTTTTTGCTCATGAAGGGCAGTCGGTGGTCTACGGGTGGCCGTTTCCCTTCATCCACAAATCCAGACCGGTGCGCCCGAATCCTGGTGACAACAACAGGCTGCCACTCTTTCGCAGCGCCATGAACTGATGCAGCAGCACTGAAACTAGCACACACAACAGCAGCTGCTGCATGAATGTGACTGAAGGTGGGCGTTGTCTGAAATGCAGTGTCAAGTGCTTCTGTGGCTGGATAGCAAGACTGTGGCACCCCGAAAGCCAATACTATTTGACATGGCGAACCCCCAGTACAAACGTTACGAAGTGAGTTTAGGCCTTCCAGGGGTGCCGGATATAATTGTGGCTTCTGGAAAGAGAGGCGACGACACGCTTATTACTGTCCAATCTAAAGACAGCCCAACCTTTTCCAAGCAACTCACGCTCGCACCTCAAGCCCCACAAGGACAAACGCCGCAGCTAGACGTGGTGAGGAGCCAGCTGAGCGTAGATGTGCTTTTAATACTGCTGGTGTTTCTGCACCTGCTTGAGTTTATGCTATTCGTGTTCACTGTTGCTAACTGTGGTATTAAAGGCACTGCTACTTAAGAGCTGTTGAAGCTACCGTTGCAGACTTATGAGTTGCTGGTGCTGGCGCATGCACTGATGATGCTACTGCCGATTTTTCAGCACCAGAGGCTGCTGCACTGGTTGACTCCTCCGCTGCTCTGACACGTGCTGTGGATGCATGCTGCAGCTGGAGAGCGCATGTATTCACACGTGCAAGCGTGTGCACATGAAGAAAATGAGCCTTTCATGAATGTTTGTGCGTGAGCACTTTTGCGCCTTAGACAGTTGAAACCTCATTCACGAGCCTTGACGTAGCCGTGAAGATACAAGAGGTTGCGGTTTCGCTGATATGCGACCGTCTGGCGGAGGAGCTGTGCTACGCGAGCCTGTCCCAGCTGGCAGTGGGGCTGCAGCAGAGAGGGGACAAGCAAAAGGTCGTCTTAAGAATTGAAAAGGTTCAAATAGACAATCAAATGGAAAGCGGGAAGAAGCCGGTGGTTCTTGCAAACAGAGGAGGCAGAGATGCCAGCAACACAGACCCACAGGTTAGCTCACAACACGCACTGTCGGTGCTCCTCAGATCCGTACAAAGCATACGAAACAGAGCACAAGTCTAGGGCTTCAAAGACAAACATTCAAATGCCCGATTGAGAAAACGGAAGAACGGTAGTAATGTATGTCTCCCTGCCCGGTGACTTGTGCACCTGCAGAGTTCCCAGGGCGTTCTGAAGGTTCCCACACCTTTCTTGACTATATTTATGGTGCGTTTGAATTCGGGGAGTCGAGACGTAGTTTTGAAAAGGGCTCTGGTGGAGATAGACGACCTTGAAATCGACATAGATGCGGACATGCTCAACGGGCTTAATGTGAGTACTGGGGCTGTAGCTAAGCGCTTTAGGCAGGCATTCAGCCCCATATAGCCATGTCGTTTCAGTGGGGAGGTCTGGGCCTGTGGGGTCAGTATGCACTTGAGCAAAATTTGTATCGACGCAGAACTCCAGCGCTCGTTTATGCTGTGTATATACTCTTTGCTGACTACTCTTTGCTGACTGCGCCTACCCAACTTCACTTTTTCGTAGCATTCTTTGTGGTTTACGTCTTTATTCTTGCCCGTACTGATGCTGCTGTTTAAGCTGCAGAAAACGTGCACTCTCCATTATAGGCCCTTTTCCAGCGCTGATGCGCTTGCTCCTCCTGCTGGTGCTCGCGTCACTGCCAGCACTGCCGCCATTGCTATTGGTTCTGGTGCTGATGCTGCTTTTTTGTGTTTAGGACTTCCTTTGGTCGTGCATAATAGCGTTTGGGTTGGCTGATGCTGCCTCCCGGCGTGCAGTGTCGTTGGAGGAGCTGCAGGTGTGGGGCTGTGAACCATTAGTACGCAGTTACGAGCCCCCGCCGCTTCCTACGATTCTGTCTCTTGAATCCTTGGTAATTTCCCGATTTAGAGTTTACTGTTGGTGCTCCTTCGTCCTCGACAAAATGCACATGATGTCAGACCTGCTGAAATTAGGCCTGCGCATTCTCATGGCTTCCGGAAGACTTGAACTCACTGTACGGACCATCGGAGCCGCACTGACTGCGGTTGCTGTTGTTGCTGTTGTTGCTGTTGCGGCTGCTGTTGAAAACTTCAAAATAGGCTCAGTGATGACTGCGTCTGGCGATTCCTGAACGGCCACTGCAACGCCCTGCTGCGACAGTTGGTGCCCCTGGCTCTGCTTTCTTTGGTTCTTTAGTGCAATGCTGCCCTTCGGGCTCGCTACCTACTTTCTTGTGCGCGTGTTTATGCAATGCTGTTTCTGTATTTATATTTGGATGCATGAATACGTTCACTTTTTTGGGTTGCTGCTTGCTTGTGTTCGGTGCTATTCCAAAGGGGGCGCGGCTGAGCTTCAGCCAGGAGGAGTTTCGTTACCTTCGCGGCACCGTGGCTTCCTTCATGTCTTGTCTCCAAGAACGCTACACATACCACCTGCTGTCTTCTCTCTTCTCCTCCCTAGGGCAGTCTTCACTGCTAAATCTGCCGCGCATGCCGTACGAATTTGGGCGCAACACCATTGGTCTAGCAGCCAATGCCGTGGACAGTGTCTCTGCAGGTCTGGGTTCCTTGCTGTCGACCTTTACCTTTGACTCCAACTACATCAGCAAGCGGCGACAAGAGAGGGGCCGCGGGGCATCTGGCGTACGCGAGGGCTTTCTCTCGGCAGGCAGGAACATCGGCGAGGGGGTTTGGGCCCTGTCTAGCATTGTCACGAAGCCCATAGAGGGCGCTCAAAAAGAGGGAGTGGGAGGGTTCTTGAAGGGAATAGGCAAGGGACTGGTGGGCTCCCTTGTGAAGCCCCTTGATAGAGTAGGCCAGGCCGTCTCAGATGTCACCAGAGGAATACACGCGGAGGTCAGCAAGCCTATGGGCGCACTCAAGCTCATCAATAAACGACTCAGGAATCCACGTATGATTGGCGAACAGGGACAAGTTCGGTGAGACACATGCGCTTTAGCTACACCGGGCGGTGGCTGCTACCGCACTTATCAAATTTGGCGCTGCTGCTACCGCTGTTCATGCGTTATCTGTGTGATGGTGCGGTTCTGCTACGAGAAATGGTGATTTCGCCGCAAGCAGCGGCTTGCAAGGCTTCGTGTTTCCCAAAGAGCTCTTCAGTAGACCCTTGGCTGCTGTCGCATATGCATAGTTTCACCATCCGCTGGACTGTCTAGCGCCGGTGCCGCGCTGTTCCGCTAATTCTGTAGTTGTTTCGCTGTTGTTTTTTGCAGCCCATATGATGAGACGGAAGCACAACTGCGACAGAGTCTTGGCCTGGCCGTACTGCGTCCCATGCAGAAATGCATGACGGTACTCGAGCAGGACACTCCACAGCGCTGCCACTTGGCAGTTCTGTTCTACCCACAGGACATATTCCTAGTGGACTTAAAAGGGGGACTGCAGGGGACCCAGCAGGGAACTTCCCGTCGGGGAAGCAGCGCAGGCGATGAGGCTGGTGGCCAAGTGCACGTTCTGTGGCATGTGAGCGTGGCAGACATACGGGAAGTAAAGGCTGGGAGTCATGGAGTGATCGTGAGGACATCTCAGAGCTCCTCAGGAGCCCAGCCGCAGACCGAAGCAGGCCTTGGAAGGGCCTCAACGCTAGGGATAATGGCTAAGACTCAGGCAGGTAGACGGAGCACCCAACCTTCAGTAACTACAGGGGCGCAGAGAGACATCATGCAAACTTTTCATATCCCCTGTGCAAATGCAGCACTCGCCAATGAGGTTTACAGGGAACTACTTGAAACGCAGAGAGGCAGCGCGACTATTGTGGAGCTCGGGGCAAATAGACGCGCAGCGGAACTGACTTGAGATGCACAACGCTGTTCACATTAGTAATGCGAACGACAGCGGCAGGAAAAGGCACAACGGCGGCAAGAGGAACGACAAAGAGCAATGACTGCAGCAAAATCGTGGTGCTGCTGCTTCGCAGCGCATGGTGATAGAAGGAATGGCATATGTGGTCTTGGTTTCAATCTGGCTTGCAGCCATTCAAGCTTTCGCTTTTACCACTTTTGGAACATAAAAAACCTTAAGGAGCCAATGCATACAGAAAGAAGAAAGAATATACGGTCTCGTCCTGTTTCCGTGTTAAGCAGCAGCGTGTTCAGGATGTGCCAGAGGTAACAGGCACTGAATTTTGAGGCCCAATGAGACAGGACAACTATCAAGTTTGCACATGGTCTGGCACTTCGGTGCGCAACTTGCTTTTCTTACTCTAGTGCAGTCTGCTTTCAGTTTCGCGCCTGCACGTTTTGGTCGCTCTTCGGTTTGCAGCATCAAGCAATATTGGACTTCTTTTCCCGGCAGTGTTGAGGACCTTCGTGTGTGCTGAGTGGGTGCTTGTGACCCCGAAACCACGCTCATGGCCTGCTCTTTGGCTCGCAAGAGGTTCTTGCGGGCTTACATTCAGTGTTAGTGGCCTCCATTATGTGCAATTAGGTCCTCCTCGGGAGTGAGTCTTTTGAGACATTCTTCACACCATTCATACTTGTCACGCAGGACACTCTATGATCCCAGTCAGGCTAATAATAGCATAGCATGCCCCCACTTCATACGATATTGCTATACTTCGAGTGAGCCTAGTTGAAGTCCCGCTGATGCCTTTCAAGAGCGTGGTACGTAGCCATGCCGGTGCTGAGGCCCTTTACAAAATCCGGGAAAGCTCCCAGAAGATCCTCTCGCCTAAAGGCTTCGCTCTTACTTCTGATGGGGGCCCACCTGGAGTTATTTGCGAAACGAGCGGATGAGACTGGCACTTAAGGTACATCTCGCGGGGGAACCTACTCTCCAGAGTGTAGCTTCAAGCGTTTTGAGGTGTGGATGAATGCGCACAAGCATCTGAACCTGTCGCCGTCCTGTCTGATTCTTCCTTATCAAATGCCCTTACTGAGCTCTGTGAACCAAGAAGGCCACTAAAACATCTGTCCGGCTTACAATTCAGGCAATCTTCAAAAGGTGCAACTAGCTCTCCTCCTGTCAGTAATTGGGACCGCTCGAACGGTGCCTCGTGGTCTCCTCTTCAACAGATGGAATGCCCTATTACAGACAGTAGTTTAGGGCCAATTCCCACTTACCGGGCTCCAAAGAGACACAGGCGTGTCCCCTTTGAGTCACAAGGTAGGCCCTTAGCTTGAACCCATTATGGGTTCCGGCATTCCCACCATGACAACGTGACTCCACCACTGGTGTTGCTCTAGTACCCTCAGCTCACGCGGTTCGCGTATTAGGAATAACAGAACATCAGACAGGAGGTAAGGACGATCATAGCAGAGCCTTTAAGGCATCTCCTAGCCGCTTACACGTCTATGTGAGCAGGCTGGGAGCCTCGCGAGGCCCGAGCGTTTCACAAGCCCATTGTGTGCTTCCCTATCTGAGCGCTCCAGACAAGGCTCGCCATGCAGGGGCCAAACACGGATTGAAGCTACCCTAACGCCACATACCCACGTGACTGTAAAAATTAAAAGCTCGACACTGCCTTCGATAGTGCCCAAAGGAAGTGGGGAAAGCACCACGCCCTCTCCCCGAAAGCTCTACACCTCATTGTTCTACTTCAAGTGCGTGATCAGACGACGTTCACCTTTGACACTTCATGCTTTATCCTACGTTATTTCTATGTTAGTTGTAACAAGTTGTCAGTTTGTTCCTGACACACCAGAGACCTGAGTATGTCCCCCAAATATGCAGTGTGCACTCTATCCGCGGTTATGCAACCCTGAAACGCTCAGAACTGCACAAAACAGAGTAGCACAATGAGACTGAGGTAACTGTATTCGGCTACGACCGAGGGAAGCCCCTGACGTGAGCATACAGGGAAGACTATCACCACAAGAGCCCAGTCGGATGAACGTCCTTGTCTCCGAAGCTAACTGTCTGAGGGCAACCCGTGAGTGTATGCCTTCCTTTAGCTGCATGGTCTTGCTTGCTAAGAGCACAAGTAATATTAGGGCTCCTGAAGCTGACAGTAAGAAGGCGAGCAGCAGCTGCTGCCTGTGCAGCCGTCTCGCCGGTTTGCTGCTGGTGGTGCCTGTCGCCGTGTCTCCTATAGGCCTGTGTGCGCCAATGTGGGGGGTGTCGGGTTTGGTGTTTATTAATGTTTCTAATTTTTCTTTCTTGAGGAGTTGACCTCCTCAGGGGCCCCTATTCTTCACTTTCGTGAACGGGAGCACTGCAGACAAGAGGCAGCAGGCAGCCAGCACCCCAGCCGCAGCCAGGTGACTACACCTGCTGCAGCTGCTGCTGCTGCTGCTGCTCTCGGTCGGTCTTAAACCCCACAGTGTAGTGCCACCTGTTAGAGCATTTGAATCACTGTTTAATGCATTTCTTGTCTTCCTTATGTCCTCGCTGAGCCCAGACAGAGATATTGTCGCCTGATCGCCGACACCAAGCCCTGCTTGTCCCAGCCAGCTCGCCTTACAGTGTCCTTGTTCCTGTTTTTGAAGTGTAAAAAAGGGCCCAGTGAGCGCTTCAAAATGCCTGCCATTTCTTCCTTAGACGCGTACCGTTCCAACCTCTAGGCCCTGGACTCCGATTCATTCCCCTGGCCCCGCTGCCAAGCCTCAGGTCACTGAGTCCTTGCATTTGGGTTCCACATACCCCTCAAGGCCTTCGTATGCGTCATTCAGCCAATTACTCGGAGCCTTCAGGGCACTTGCCGCTTCATAGTACAACGCAGCATCCCTAACTACCTCGAGCAGAAACAGCAGCCGAAGCAACAGCGGAACCCAAGAGCCCGGCTTGCCTGTATGTGTGGACTGGTTTCTTCGAACTACTTCTCTCCTGACCTCAGCCGCCGCGGCGGTCTTGCTGTGTCTGTGGAGCTGCCGCAGTGGGGCGGGCTGCGTAAGCGCAGGTGCTTGGAGGCCCCCAGAGGCGGCTGTGTCGGCTGCTGGTCGTGAGCGGGCATTGGGGTGTACGTACAGCTGACATCAGGGCCCAAAGGCGCAACCCGGATTCTCAGAAACAGCAGTAGCGGTCTGAATCGTGATTTTGCGCGCGGGTGTGCAGCAGCTTCGTTAAAATGTACACTAAGAGAGCAAGGAGACAGGGCAATTTGGGTCTATTGAGATTTATCTTGAGTTTTACCCTCCTTCCGTCTTTGTCTCCCTTGCTGCTGCTGCTGCCGGCGCTGCTGGCGCCCACAGCCGCCTGGGCCTTTCTGGATCCTTCCGGTGTGTCTGGGGGCGCCCTGTTGCCGCCGCAGCAGCTGCTGCAGTTCCACAGTCCGTCTTTTTCCACCCCCTCGCTTACCCCTCTCTCTGTAATCCCCAGTGCCACATCGAAGCAGCAGCTGCCTGCCGTCGGCTTGAGCTGCCGCCTCAGCCGCGCTCAGCCCGACGGGATCGAGTGCAGGGAGCTTCTCCGCCCGCTGCAGACCCGCCCGGGACGCACCGCTTCTCACATCCCGCAGACAGCAGAAGCAGCAGCAGTGAAATCCGCAACGGCTGCAGCAGCAGCAACAGCGAACACACAACACATGGTGCCACCAGTAAGACAAACGCACACATTCAGAATAACCACTTGTCTTGAGAAGTGCTAGGCAAGCTTGAGGATTGAGCACTTGAGATCCAGACTGCACGTGGGGCTGGTTCGCACCTGGTTCACGTGTTTGGGGTGTACAGACAGCTCCGGGGCTCTCGTCGCCCCTGACGGGGCCTCAAAAGGCCCAAGTGGAGGAAGTGGCGAGGCAGAGCGGCCCTTGGATGAGAGATAGTGACCCGCTGGCTGCCTACGTGCAGATGCATGGGTGAGTCTTCGGATTTGCAGTTTGGATTTCACCTCCTTTTCTTGCCTGGGTGTGTTATGCTCAATATCTGCTGTGGGTCCCACTCTGGCCTTCGTGCTGCCTTCATATATCTGCGGTGTTTCGTATGCTGGTTGCTACTTTTTCCTGATTGTCTTTATTGCCACTTCCGGTGCGTGAGTCTTCACTCCGCGCTGCTGTTATGGCCGCCGCCTCTTGTGCTTTTCCCTTCTTGAATTTGTTTATACTTTGTGCCACTTGTTCTTTTATTCCGTTGCTGCTGTCATCAATTCGCTTTGCTGCAGCGGGAAACGGCCCATCCGTCGCATTTTGATTGCAAACAATGGAATGGCAGCAACGAAGGCAATCGCCTCTATGCGTCAGTGGACTTTCGAGACCTTCGGAGACGCAAATGTCAGGTTTCTTGCTGCTTCTGGTGGTCACGCTGCTGCCGGGTTTGCTGCTGCTGCTGGGTGTGCATTTGGTGCTTGTGGAGGTGCTCTTGCTGCTGGCTCTGCGAGTCTTCCTACAGTTGCTTGTCGCTGGCTTTGCCGCTGCTGGCGCTTCTAGTTGCTTCTTGCTGCAGGTGTTTTTGTTTCGGTCGCTGCTGCTGGGTGGTTGCTGCTTCTGCTGCTGTCTTTCGTTTTAGAGTTGTTCTTTGGAAGCCCACTTTGGCCTATTGTCCAGAAGGCTTAATACTGTCGCTGCTCTGCTTGTGCTGTTGCAGCTGTTGACATTTGTGGTTATGGCCACCCCTGAGGACTTGGAGGCTAACAGTGAGTTCCTGAAGAAGGCAGATGCTATCGTTCCTGTTCCCGGCGGACCCAGCCGAGAGAACTACGGCAATGTGTCTCTTATTTGCGAGACAGCGGTCAAGCAAAAGGTACTTTATGAGAAATTATTCTCCCCAAGACATCAGTGATAGCAGCAACGGAACAGCTGTAGCAGCTACAGAAGCAGAGGCCGCAATTGGCACGTCCCCAGCAGACCAATGAGTAACAGCCTGAAGAGAAGCAACCAACGCAGACACGGTTGCAGAAGAAGCAGCAGTTTTCATGGCTACAGAAGCAGGATAGGAATAGCAGCAGCTACGACAGCAGCATTTCCATGCTATCATCACTGCTTACGCGTTTGCGGGGCCGCAGGTGGACGCGGTGTGGCCTGGCTGGGGTCACGCGTCTGAGAATCCGGAGCTGCCCACGCGTCTAGCTGAATTGGGTATTTGTTTTATGGGCCCCAATGCAAAAGTGATGGCAGCGCTTGGAGACAAAATTGCGGCCAACATCTTGGCCCAGACGGCCAACGTGCCTTCTATTCCCTGGAGTGGTGACGGCCTAAAGGCGCAACTCAATGAAGAAGGGTCAATTCCGGAAGAGGTAGGAACTTCGCTGTAGTTACGCTTTCTGTGTTCTTTGGACGAGGCACTGGGGTAGTGGCGTTTGAGTCATCATGTACGCCGTAGCGTCCGTTTGCAGATGCCTTGGTGTCTTGTGCGATGGGTGTACGTATTTGTTCTCCTTTGTGCATTGCCTTAATGCTTGTATGGCTGTATGAGTGTGCTACTTGGTCCTTCGGTCTTTCTGAGTGTACACAGGTGTTTCCCTCTCTGTCTTTTCTTGCTTCCTACTTTAACGGTCTGCGCGTTTTGACCAAGTCTGTGTCAAACGTTTTCATTACCCTGATCGTATATTTCTCGACACCAACATTGCCCGGCAGAAGTAGCCCTTTATCTCTTGTTGCTGCCGCTGCTGCTGCTTCAGGTCTTTAAGGCTGCCACGATTTCCACATTGGAGGAGTGCCGCGCTGCTGCGGACCGCGTGGGGTATCCGCTGCTGCTGAAGGCATCTGGGGGCGGCGGCGGCAAAGGTATTCGTCTTTGCTACAAGCCGGAGGAGCTGGAATCGGCTCTGTCTCAGGTGAAGGCTGAGGTTGTGGGGTCACCTGTGTTCCTCATGCAGCTGTGCGAGAGGGCAAGACACATTGAAGTCCAGATCGTAGGAGATTCATTCGGAAACGCTGTGGCTCTCTCGGGCAGAGACTGCTCCACGCAAAGGCGATTCCAGAAAATATTTGAAGAGGCACCGCCCACAGTTGTCCGGCCTGAGACGTTCAAGTGCGATCCCAGCCCACAATTTGTTTGGTTTAGAAAGTGGCGGCGCTGCGCCTTTCCTTTCATTTGTTTGGCCCTTTCTCTTGCCGTTGCTTGGCGTTAGCCTCAGCGCGAGGCAGCCTCAGCGTTTGTTTCTTCGGTCTCACTGCGTCTCTATGTGGGAGTCCCCCATTTTTCCAATTTATGCCTCTCTATCAGAGCACAGTTTCTGGATATCCTCTGTCAGCTCCGACTGTTTTGTTGTGCAGTTCTTTGCCGTTGTGCCAGTATGCTCTCCTGCTTTTTTGAGTGCCGCTGTTCCATCTCCTGCTCATGCACCTGCCACCGTGCGTTCCAGATTTCTTTGCGTATCTTTGGGCCTCCATTCCCGATTACATGAATTTTCATGCAATATTACATTTGCGGAACTGCTTTGGGGCGCTCGACAGGGAGATGGAACGTGCAGCCCAGCGCCTGACGCAGTCACTTGGCTACGAGGGCGTGGGCACAGTTGAGTACTTGTTTAACCCAGCAACGGATTCCTTCTATTTCTTAGAGTTGAATCCCAGGCTGCAGGTGGAGCACCCGGTGACTGAGGCGGTCACGGGCCAGAACTTGCCCGCCCTGCAGCTACAGGTTGCCATGGGTATTCCCCTTAACAGAATCCCTAGCATCAGATCCTTCTTCGGCAGAGACCCCACGGGCACTGACAAGATCGACTTCCTTAAAGAAGACTACATGCCACTTAAGATGCATTGCATTGCGGTCAGACACGCTCCCCTTTTGCTGCTGCTGGCGGTGCTTTGTTGATAATGACTGTGGGGAATGCTGCGATGGTTACATTGTGGCAGTGTAACTGTCGAAGCAGGTGCAAGTGGTGGATGCCCATTTGGTGGCTCTAAGCTTCATGAACCACTGCTTTGTCTTTTACGCGCCCTCATTTTATGTTTATCTTTGAAGCCATGAATTCATGTCTTCTCAGTGCATCTCTGTAGCTGCTGTGTTATTCAGTACTCCTTTTTTACCTTTCTTACTTTGTAAAATTTAGTCTTCTTGTGGAGCCAGGGACAGCTCCCCAGGTTCGGGCAGCTATCAAGCAAGTGCTTGCGCGTATTGAGTTCATCCCCCTTCTGCTGTTGCCATCATGTTCTCAGGCCCGTGTGACGGCAGAAAACCCGAGCGACGGCTTCCGGCCTACGAGCGGCCGGGTGCATTCGCTGAGTTTCAATCCACCGGAGAAGGTGTGGGGCTACTTCTGTGTGGGGACAAAAGGAGCCTTGCATGCTTACGCAGACTCCCAGTTTGGACACGTGTTTGCTGGAGGATCCACGAGGAATGAAGCAAGGAAACGGCTGATTTGGGGTCTGCAGCAGCTGCAGATTAAAGGGGATATAAGAACACCCATTAACTTCTTGCAGGTGCTGCTGCAACAGCCAGCGTTTGTCAATCATACCCTCAATACGGAGTGGCTCGATGGTATCATCAAGGCCAAACAGCTGCTGCCTTCACCCAAGGCCGATGATGTCGTGTTTGCCTCCGCTGCCTTCAGAGCCATTCAGGCATTGGAGGTGAGGTGACTGATGCGTGTGCTGCTGCTGTTGTCCTCCATGCACTGCTGCTGAAGCTCTACTTTTCTCTCATGCTGCTGAGGGGCGTTGTGATTAATGCCATTTCTGGTGGGTGTTGTGATTAATGCCATTTCCGGTTCTACTGTTGTGTATCACTTTTCTTGCCGTTACGTCTCCTAGCGGCAGCAGGTATGAAATGCAGCAGCGATGGCGGCATCGGCAAGAGCAGCGGCGGCCCGTAATTCCACCCCTTGTGGGAGTTCTCTTACTTGAGCTGAACATATCACTGTGCTATCTTCTGTGTGCAATACTTCAGAAACAGAAGGCGTCTTGGCTGTCTACTGCTGCTCGAGGCCACACATATTTGCCACCTGTGGGGCCGCTGCTGTCAGTGGAAGTACCGATAGCGTGGGATGGCCAGTTGTACAAGTTGAACTTCACAAGGACTTCCCCATCGGCCTTGGGATTTTCAATCAACAAACAAAAGGGAGAGGTGCAGTATAGACAACAGTCGGATGGCTCTTATCTGTTGTCCATATATTCCGACCCCCCGCAAGAGCAGCAGTCGGATCAACAGTTGCAACAGATGCAGCAGCCGCAGGAGCTGCAGCACGGGGTTCACCCGCGACTGCTGCGTTTCAGCGCCACTGAGGAGCCCCTCGGTCTTCGGCTGGAGCTGGGGGACAATTCTCTGATGGTTTTAGACCAGAGGGATCCCTCGGAGATGCGCTCAGATGTCAATGGTCGCCTTGTCAGATATCTTGTTGGGGACGGGGAACATGTTAAGAAAGGACAGCCGTTTGCCGAGGTCGAGGCCATGAAGATGATCCTCACACTGACGGTGAGAGAACCTTGGTGCCTAAACCACCGTGTGTTTCCTTGGGTCTGCGTTTGATTCATCGCCTCTGTCTCTCCCGCGAAGCAATGCTTGCATTAATTGCACGGTCTGTTGAAGCATTGCCGCTGCTGCTGCTGCTGCTGCCGTTTGGGTCGCTTCCAGGCTGGCGAAAGTGGGGAGCTGATACATCGCAAGAGCGCAGGGTCACTGATTCAGCAGGGAGAGCTGCTGGCCTCCCTGCGTCTAGAGGATCCTTCGAAGGTGGTTCGTTTGACGCCATTTGAGGGCTCGCTTGACTTGACAGCTGCTGCTGCAACTCCGGGGGAGGCAGAAGAAGAGACAGCTGAAAACACAGCGAGCCCACCGGCCTCTCCCTCTGCCCTCCAGCTTTCGCCAGAAGCAGCAGCTAAGGAAGTTGCTGCTGCTGCGGAGGCTCGGCTTGAGCTGTTGCTCAGCGGCTTCGTGCAGCAACAAACAGCGCAGCAACTGCTGAACTCGCTGCTCTCGGGCCCCTGCGGAGACTCGCCGCTTGCTTTGGCTGCCTTCACAGAGAAGTGCCTCACGCGCTTCTTGGAGACAGAGGAATTGTTTGCAGGGAGGGGAAATGCAGATGCAGCAGCCGCAGTTGCTGCTGCTACTACAGACACTGAGGGACAGTTTAGGGTGTACGTGTCCCACTACGCCCTCAAACAGAAGACGGAAATGCTCCTACTACTTCTGAAGGAATTGGCAGTGAGCCGAAATCAGTGCTATAGTTTGTGCTGCTACAGTCCTCTGAATCCCCTTCACCATTTCTTCTTGCTTGCGCGACCTTGCTTTACCTACGGCAGCAGCAACTGTGGAGCATGTACAAAATGAAATATTGCATTTTCGTCTTCCAGCTTCTGTGCGAGCTTATCATGACCCGGGACGGCTCGTGGTGTTGCTGTTGCTGTGATGTTTGCTGCCGCAGGGAAGGCTGACTGCTTCTGGAACCTCCGGTTTCGACTCTTCCAGACTTGAAGGCCTCTTGCGTCGTGTGGGGTCTTTGCGGGGTGTCGCCTACAATGTCCTTGCCTTGGCGTCTCAGCGACTGCTGAAACAGCTGCTCCTTCCCTCTGTGGCGGAGCGTGTTGAGACGCTGCGTACGCAGCTGCAGCAGCTGCAGAACTTGCAGCAGCAGCAGCAACAGCAACAATTGCGGGACGAGCTGTTGCAGCTGCCTGAAGAGCTTGGAGGCTATGGGCTTCTAGCTCACTTGTTCAGAGATTCCAGTGTTGGCCTTTCAGCTAAGGAAGTGATGCTGAGGAGGCAGTTGTTGGGACTTGAGGTCCAGTTACAACAGCAGCAGCAGCAGGGTGTCATCCCGTTCACTTGGAAAGACATGCTCCACGAGGGCCCTGCGGCGACAGTAAACGCGGGCATCTTTGCTGCTGTCTCGGGCATGGAAGACTTGCAGCAGCAGGTGGGGGTGCTGCTGCAGCAACTAGGACAGCAGCAAAAGGCACTCAGTGAAGAGACCAAGGGCGTTTTGCTGCTCAGTTTGCCGGTGGCAACTGCAGAAACAGCGGGAGCTGCTGAAGTTGCAGATGCAGCAGCTGCGGCTGCAGCAGCAGCTGCTGCAAACTCACCAGACGCTGCAGCAGCACTGAAGAGGCTCCACAGTCTCCGCTTGCTGCTGCCGAGGACAAATGGAGACGCGCAGCAGGTTACTCTTGTCCCACAGCAGGACCTGCAGTTGCAGGAAGACCCTTTACAACGGTGAGCCGAGCCACACAGTTTTCCCTAGGAGAATACGCACACACTGAAGAGTCAAAGTTCTTTCTTGCCCCTCTGTGTTATAGAGAAACACGAGAGGCTGGAGCCTCAAGCGGAGCAGCATTTGCAGCATTGGTGTACTGTGCTTTTGAGCTTACGTTGCTGCAGGGGCCTTTCACTGTCCCAGTTTGTCTTTGGAGAAATAGAGATGATGAGGGGTAAGGGGACTGTGCGACGGTTGCCGTCCGCTGCGGCTGCTGCTGCAGTGCCCCCCGCAGTATCGACGGATCTGTTGCTGCACGCTGTCTCCCCGAAGCCGCCGACACCTCCAACTGGTGCTGCAGCGCCTCTGCGTACCCCAGCGCTGCGGGAGACAGTGTACATACACCGCATTATTCCTAAGGCTGATATGCTGCTGCAAGGGGAGGGCCTGCAGCAGTTGCTTCAGCACTTGCTGCAGCAGTTGGAGGCAGCCTTCAGGGATCCTCACGTCCACCCCACAAGCAGCAGCACAGTTGTGCTGCAGCTCCTACAGCCAGAGCCCGAAGAGAGACAGGCAGCGCTGCAGAAGGCTCTCTTCGAGGCAGTCCACACTCTCAAGGCCGAGCAAGGCGAACGGGTGCTGCGGCTGAATGTGGAAAAGGTGGAGCTGCGGGTGCCTTTAGCAGCAGGTAGGGCGACAGAGGCAGCAAGCGCTGCCAGTGCTGCTGCTTCCCAACAGCAGCAGCAAATTATCAGGGCTTCCAGCAGGGGAGGCTGCTGGCTTGAGCCGGAGGAGCTGTCCGTGCCTGGCGCTGTGGCGGAATACGACGGCGAGTGTGAGTTGCACTCATCCGCTACGGCGACTTTGAGGCAGCAGACGCAGCCAAAGAAGCAGGTTTTGGGGGCTGAGACCTCAACAGCAGACAGCTCTGCTGCTCCATCTCCGCTCCTGTCAGAGTTATCTACCCCGGAAAGCGCTTCCTTTAAAGAAGGGGAGCAGATGGCGAGTCGGTCTTCAGCAGGCGATAGCATGGAGTTCGCTGCCAGTATCCAAAGCAGCACCTGCAGCAGCGACCGTCTGCCATTTTCTTGGGGTCGAGGGGGAACTGCTGCTGCTGCAGCTGAGGCGGAGAGGACGGCGCCTCTTGTCCCGCTAAAGGGCGTCAGCGAGGCACAGCTAGCAGCCAAGAGGGCAGCAGCACAACGCGCCGGGAGCACGTATATCTACGACTTCCTGGGCTTTATAAAGACTGAGCTGCAGCAGCAGTGGAGACGCAGCCAACAAAAACTTGAAAATGCCGGGGACAGCCGGAAGCTTAAAGTGCCGCACAAACTCATGGAGGTAAATTACACATCGACGGATGCGCATAGACAGACACACCGAGAGAGATATGCAAGCGTAGATGCAGTCAAGGAGGCAAGGGGAGAGAGCCATAATCGGCATAGATAGAGGGATGCCAGTAGGTAGAGATGAAATTAAAAGTACATGAGAGGATAGGGGCTCAACGAGGATAAGAAAAGCCGAGCAGCCGTTCGCTGCTTCTTTTCCTGTCGCGTTTGCTCCGGCACTATAGTGGCTCGGTGATCGACTTTGTTGTGCATTTGCTGCTGATGCTGGTTGTTTTAGACGCGGGAGTTTCACATGGGCCCCGATGGGAAGCTACAGCTGCATCGGAATTGGCAGGTGGGAGACAATAAAGTGGGCATGGTAGCATTTTTGCTGCTACTGCGGACTCCTGAGTATCCGCAAGGTCGTGAGGTGGTGGTGATCGGCAATGACGTGACCTACCAAGGGGGTTCCTTCGGGGTAGAGGAGCACGAGGTGTACAGGCAAGCCTCGGCCTTCGCTCGCAAGCACAAGATTCCCCGTATCTACATAGCGTGCAACAGTGGTGCTCGCATTGGGGTCTACGAGCAGCTCAAGGAGAAGCTTCATGTGGAATGGACCGACCCAGAAAACCCTGCATTAGGCTTCAAGCACCTGTACATCACAGAGAAAGACATGCGCGAATTGCCTCCAGGCGCCGTTGTGGGCCACTGGATTCCCACTCCTGCGGGAGCAGAAAGTGATATAGGCGACCGTGTATTTGTTCTCGATGCCGTTGTGGGGTCTGAGGGACAACACTTGGGAGTGGAGAACCTGCGGGGCTCCGGGAAAATAGCGGGAGAAACAAGCCTGGCCTATGATGAGGTATTCACTCTGTCTCTTGTCTCTGGGCGCTCTGTGGGTATTGGCGCCTACGTCGTGCGCCTGGCCCAGCGCTGTATACAGCAGAAGACCTCGCCCTTGGTGCTAACTGGTTACCAGGCGTTGAACAAGCTACTGGGCAGAGAAGTCTACGTGTCCCAGGACCAGCTTGGGGGCCCCGAAGTCATGTTGCCTAACGGCATAGCGCATTTAGAGGTTGCCAATGACAAAGCAGGCATTGCAGAGGTCATGCGCTGGCTCGAATTTGTCCCTCCCACCGCGGACGCCACTCACACACCCCATCTTGAGACAGATCCCGTCAACCGCGACATAGAATTCACCCCGACATCCACTCCATACGACCCCAGGCACATGCTTGCAGGCCATGAGGTCCCTGCCACTCCGCCCAGTTCCCCTCTCGAGTCAGACGCCGAGGGAGCTGCTGAGGTACCGCAGCAGCAGCACAAAAAGCATCAGCGGCGGTGGGTGTCTGGGTTCTGTGACAGAGGCAGCTTTAAGGAAGTGCAGGGGCCTTGGGGTGCAGGCGTCGTTGTGGGCAGAGCCAGACTGGGTGGACAGCCAATTGGTGTCATTGCGGTTGACCCCAGAACAACCACAGCAGTTGCCCCTGCAGATCCAGCCAATGCAGACAGCGCGAGGGTAGAAATTCCTCAGGTGAGTTCTGCTGTGCGTACACGGCAGACGTGGGGAATGTATTCAGGAATTTGCGTGCAAACGCCACTGGGGCTTCAGAGTGTCAGGGTTGTTGAGATCACTCGGGGAAAGCGTGGGTTGAGGAGCTCAGGCTAGCGCCGAAGCTTCTATTCACATGTCTTGCCGGCCTGACCATTTGTTTCTTGTGTCTGCCTTTGTTTATGTATGGACGCACATTGGGGTGTCTGCGTGTGTGCAATTGGTGTGCGCGTAGGCTGGACAGGTGTGGTTCCCTTCTAGCGCGTACAAAACGGCGCAGGCAATAGCGGATTTCAACAGAGGCGAAAACCTGCCGCTGATAATATTCGCAAATTGGAGAGGCTTCTCTGGGGGCACTCGAGACATGTTCAATGAGGTATTGAAGTTTGGCTCCATGATTGTGGACGCTCTCCGAGTGTACAAACACCCTGTGTTCGTCTATATTCCGCCACACGCCGAGCTCAGAGGGGGATCTTGGGTGGTCATCGATCCCACCATCAACGCTTCCCAAATGGAGCTCTATGCAGATGAGCTAGCCAGAGGAGGTGTCCTGGAGCCTCCTGGCATCTGTGAAATCAAATTCAGAGAAGCTGAAAGGAGAAAACTCATGCACAAGAATGATAACACGCTCAAACAATGGCAAGCAGACCTTGCTACAGCCGCCGTAAGACACAGCACCCTCACCGCCTCTGACGGGCATTCAACATTTGCTGCCTTGGTGTAGTCTCCAACCACTTCGTGATACGCAGTTGAGGGGCTACGGGCTAGTAAGGCCTCTGATTGAAGACATTTTCTGTGAAGGTGTACCTCGCTGTAGGGTCTCCAAGGATGACTTCTAAGAGCTGCGATGCTCTGGGTTGCGGCTTGTTTTTTATTTAGCTTTGTGGCTTGCGATTTGTGATGTGCAGACGCCAAAAGAGGCAGAGAAGATCAAGCAGAACATAAAAAAGAGAGAGGATCAGCTGATGCCAGTGTACACACAGGTCAGTGGCATCGCGCTAGTCGTGCTCTTTCTTGTGTCTTAGACACTTCTTGTTAAGGTTATGTACACTTTGTATGCAAAACCGGAGAGCAACACATACTTCAGCTCTCTTCTTATCCACGTGACTGCGTTTCTTTTGCCTGGATCTGTCCAACTTGAATGCATTAGTTTTTATTTCTGAGTGATAATTCTCGACAGCGTGTTCTTGGGAATGCTCTTTATGTTCCTTGTTACCGGCTTGTCTGCATCATCTGTTGTCTCATCGAGTAGTCTGGTTCCGTCAGTCATTAGTGCCGAGCGTCAAGTGTGTAGGTGTAGGATCATGTAAGCCACAGTTCTGTTACTCCCCCGATTATTGAAAAATTCAGTAGATTAGTTGCCTGTTTGGGAACCCAGTGGGCGCAGATTATTGTTTAGTTTGTTCATTTCAAGATTTTGGGGTCGGGATCTCTGCGCAGGTGGCTCACGTTTACGCCGATCTTCATGACAGGGCCCCCCGCATGGCGGCTCGCGGTGGCGTCCGAAGGATTTTGAGTTGGCCCAAGGCCCGCGAATTCTTCTACTGGAGAGTCCGCAGGAGGCTGGCGTCCAACAATGCTGTGTAAGACATGCATTTCAGTGATTATTTAGGCACTAAAACTGCTTATTTGGTTTTTCTAGACAATGAACGCTTAGTCTGCGGCATTCATAGCGAATGCCGCCTTCTGCTAGCCTGTCAGAGTGTTCTGTGCGACATCAGTTTGATAGACCTGTATAATTGTGGTGTGCTTTCATTTGTGTTACGAGTGAGTGAACAAGAGATCATATGCCAATTTTGGGTAGTTTTTGGACTACCCAGGACTACCCACCAGTGGTGACTTCTTTGCTTTTTTCCGGATTTTATGTATGTAAGTACCTGTTTTGCGAATTATTCAGCAAAAAGTTAATGGCAGCGGACCCGGCCCTAACATGGGATGATGCCCTTCATCTCCTTACAACCGAGATTCCGCAGACGGCTGACTCAGTAGACGACAAGGAGGCAGTGGCGTTCTTTGAGAGTAAGCTGCTTATGAGCTGCAGTACGGCACAAATACGAATTCAGAGACCCGAAACCCGGGATCATGCGCAAGCAGGTGTAGTCTTACTTAGTGTGCTTGGCGCTTAGGACTTGCCACCGAGAATTGACCGGAGGAACATTTACTTTTGGGTTATTCGCTGTCTGTTGCTTGCAGGCAGCGAAGGCTGTGAGAAGCTGGGGGCTCTGCTGCGCCGCACGGAGGCAGCAAGCTCCCGGCGGGAGCTGCTGCAGCTGGTCAGCCGCCTCTCAGCAGCAGAGAAGAAAGATGTACTGTCGGAAGTCCAGAGTCTTTTATCCAAATGACGCCCAGCGTTAGTTGTCTTAACAACAGGCAAATAACATCAGATGTTAAGGGGCACCGCCGGGGCCCCAACATGTGAATACTAATCGAGGGCCCCTTGAAACAGCGTAAACTGGGGCGCCTACCTGGGCATACCCTTTGGGCATTTGCTGGAGTGCAATTCACTTAACTATGGGCACCTCCCTGCTGTCGCCCAAACAGGCGGGCATACCTAGGCGCCCTGAGGAGGGGCTTCTAGGCAGGATAAGGTCTGCCTTTGCAGCTGATACAGTTTTGGGGTGTGTATACACATATATGCCCAATATTATATTTCGGGTGTATCACATTCCCGCGGGTAGGTTCCTCCGGTACAAGTGGGAGACGTCTGATGCTGTCGCTTCCCGCCGCGGCTTTACGCCTACAGCTCTTGCGCGTCTACACATTTGAAGTACATACATATATATCAAAAGCAATGCATAGTCTACATCTATTGAATGTATATGTATATTTTATCATTCGTGTAAGCATACACTATGCGTGGATTCGTTTGTGCGGACATATTTCATACGTACTAGCGTTCTTGTCGCGGTACAGCTGACCGTCGCAAACATCCCTCAAACGGTCCATTGGCCCTTGGGGCTGCATGCAGCCCCAGCGCCTCCAGTGCGAGGACGTGTGGGGCCTCCTTGGGAGGTGGCACCCCGGGGGTTCCCAGGGATATGGCACTGTGTACTGTTTGGGACTTCAATGCTGAAATAAGCAAAGCTTAGCTGGAGTCAAGGGCACAGAGTAGATGCAGGGTCGCTGGGAATAGCAGCAGCAGCAGCACGAGTAGCATCAGTGAGGTCCCGCCAGTGTCCACAGACACTCCCACCTAGGAAAGGGCTTCAGCAGATTCATTTCTTAGTGCACCCTACGCTTCAGATGTACTCCACGTAAAACCTACAGGTGGGTGTTCACCGCCCGGGAGGCATCTACGCAGTCAGCAGAGCCCTAATTGCAACATAGGAAGCCATTAATGAAGAGCTACGAGACGCAGGAAAGGCTACGAACAGTGGCAAATGGGGAGCAACGACCAAGAAAAGGACCGTGTCAGATACCCTGCGGCTAAGCAGTAATAGAATTTTTGGGGCGTGCCAATTAACAGAGGCCCGCGGACGGGACCACACCCAATAAATAAGCTGAAGAAGAGCCAAGTCGCCGAATGGCCCTTGCTTTGTTGCAGCAAGTTGCATATTCCTTCCGCCGTTGCCTGGCTGTGCCTTAAACGTTGTCTTTCGCATGTTTCTGCTTGCGCCTGTCTGGTGTTCCTTCGCATTTCCTCAAGTGCGTGTGCCACTGTTTTTCTGTCGCCGTCTGCTTCTGTCTACTCGTCGTGCGTGGTTGCGCATCTGCCGCTCTCGTCTTTTGTTTGCATGTCCTTGTTTCTTAATACTTGCTTTACTATGTTGGCCTTGTCGTCCCTCTTGGCTTCAACTGTGCTTAGCTACTCTAAGCATCCATCAGTTCCTCAGCTGTCTCATTTTACAACAGCTTGTGAGCCTTTAAAAATCATTGCAGCGAAACAGAACTCTAAAGATAACTCCCCGCGCTCCTGATTTCCCGTTTTCCTTTTCTTCTTCGTTGTGTTCTGGTGGATGTGTCTGTTTCGCTAGCTGTCTGCGTTTCAAATATGCCTTTGCATTTTCCTTCCCTCCCAGAAGCATCTGCTGCGAGATATCCCTCTTTTCCATTTCTCTTACTATCCCTTTAGGGCCTGACGCTGCTGCCCGGCTCCAGGGGAGCCAGAGGGCACTGCTCCTCTATGGGCACATCGACGGATACCCCCGTCACCATCTCAGCCCCCCTCAACACATGAATACTAAATCTGTATCGAGGCCTCGAGTACCGCCCCGTCTGCTGCAGCAGCTTCGAGAGGTGCTCAATCTCTATTTCGTTAGTTGCGGCTTTTTCTGCGCCCTCACGAGGCTCCTGACGGCTTCGAAATGTGGATGCAGCAGCAGCAACATCAGCGGAGGCCAGGGAAGAATTAGCTTTTGGGCTGGACGCTGAACTCGCGTCTGTCTTCTCAGACGCATCGCGGCGCTGCTTTATCCTCTCGCTTTTGCTCGCAGACCCTAGCATTCTCTTACTTCGGCTAAAGTTACTGCTGCTGCTACCATTGCCGCCGCTGCTGCTGCTGTTGAATTTATCTGCGTTGCTGTTTGCCTTTTCGTTGCTCACGCTGTCGCAGGTGCTCGTCCGAATACCTTTGCCGCTGCTGCTCCTACGCTGCATCTCAGCTGTCGACTCACGCACCTCATCAACCGCAGCACGCGGTGACGCGCTGTTGCAGCTTTTGTTGTTGCTGCTGCTTTCCTGCGGGCTCGGTGTTTGTTTGCTGCTGCTGCGCCCTCTAGCTGACTCTTTCTTTGGCTGTGATTGGAATGGAATGTGGATCGTCGCTTTGTGACAAGTTCTCCGGAGACGTACCGCGCGGCTGCTGTAAAAGCTGTTGCCGCTGCTGTTGCTGCTGCTGGCATCGCCAAAGGAGAGCTTATCTGTGACTTTTTCTGCCTTTTCGTTCTCTGTCCTGTTTGAGTCTTTAAGGTCGTCTCCCTCTGCCTTCAGGCTTTTTTTGCTACTGCTGGTGCTACTGCGTTTAGGTAATGCAACTTCCATCTCTGCTGCATCCGCGTCGTCGGAAAGACAATTTTTGCCTTTCGCCGCTTTGTGATTCGACAAGTTATCCTCATTTCTGGATTTAGCGGCTCTTGTGTTGTGTGCGCTGCTGCTTAGGCATTCAGGAGAGAGGGAGCGTGCACGCTTGACCTCGCTGCTGCTCATGCTGTTGCTGTTGGCGTTGATGCGGCTCTTCATGGTGCTGCTGCCTTGTCGGAACTTGCTGCCATTCCTGGCTCTGTTGTTGCTGCTGCAGCGGCTCATCCACCGGCTTGCAGTTGAACGGCTTCTGCTGCGGCTTGGGTTTTCTTGGCCATTCTGAATCTTCTGACCCGAAAGCCCAGATGTCCCCGACGACTGCAAGCGCAAGCAGCAGCAGCAGCACAGAAGCTACACGGGTGAAGCACCGCAGCGACAACATACACAGGTTAGCATTGATGCGGGAGCACCGTCACGGTTGCAGCAGCAACATCGCTGCAGCAGCCGAATCTGCCACGGACAAGCACAAGCCTCCCAACATGCCCTACATACGTATGTACACAGCGCGCGAAGCAGTGCTGCAACTCTTTCTACTTTTGCTGCTGCTGTATGTTCTTCGTCGCAGCAGCTGCACCTCCTGCCTTGCTTTGCAAGTCCGCCCTACAGCTACCTGTTCTACCGCCGCCTCTTTTGCTGCTGCCGCTGCTGCTATTTTGCACATTTTCCGTTGCTGCAGATTAGCTGGCTGTTTATGGAGTACTACAAAAGCTAATACCTGTGCCTCCTTGCTGCCGTCTCAGCAGCTGCGGCTGCACTTCAACGTGCTCTGGCAGCTGCTGCTGCTGCTAAGGGTTGTTGCTGTTGCCTTGGGTTTCGGCATACGTACGAAATTCTGCAGGTCCACAAAAGAAAATACGTCAATCCTATCTCCTTTCTTGACGGGAGTTTCTTCAGGCAGCAGCGCAATGGCCTTAAACCAGCAAGAAGTTCCATGTACAGACAAGGCAGCTAGGGGGTCCGCCGTGTAGCTGCTGCGGCAGGTTTCCGTGCCCACGAACACACCCTGCAGCAGCAACAGCAGCAACAGCAGCAGAACAAGAAGCAACAAACCAGACGAATGGCCGTACCAGATGCTCGCGATCAAAGCGATATGCGCGCGTTTACACGAGCCACCGAAGCTGCTAGACATCAGTAGAAGCAACTGTAGCGTTGCCCAACACAGCTGGATTCGAAAATGCTCCTGCTGCGGCTGCTGCTGCTGCTGCAGCAGTTGCGGTTGCTCACTGGTGCTAGCTCCACTTCGTTTGTAATGCAGAGACCAGCAAGCAGCCCGTCCCTCTCCGCAACAAACTGCAAGCGTCTTCTTTGCTGCTGCTGCTGCTCCATTGGCTCTTCAAACAGCAACTCCTCGAAGACGGGACGCAGACCGCCTTTGCTGCCTGCTGCTGCTTCTGCTTCTGCCGCGTCTTGCTTGGCCTTTGACTGAAGAATCTCAAGTGCTTTATGTCCGTCTATCAGAGGCGTAGCGGCTACGCTTTCTGTTGCTGCATCGTGCAGCTCCATATTCTTCTGCTGTAGCCATTTCGGCAGTTGCAGCTCTTGCTGCAGCTCTCGCGTGCTGCTATTTCTTGTCAGCCCTTGCAGCACTTCTACTGCAGCTGCTGAGCGCGCGAGCAGCAGCGGCTGCTGCAGCAACCCCACTGCCTGCAGCAGCCTGCGCCGAGGGGAAACTCGGCTGCGCTGGGTATAGGTGTGGTGGGGGAATGGCAGGTGCTGCTGCTCGGGGAAACAGCAAGGCCGAATAAGAGTCCTTGCTGCTAAGGGGATAGACCGGGGCAGCCGCGGTGTAAGTACTCCCTGCTGCAGCTGCAGCAAACGCAGCATCTGCTGCAAGTGCAGCACCACGTCTGCTGCGCCCTCATTGCCTGCGAAGTCCCCTATGATCTCGTGCAGCAGAAGCACTTGAGACAGATCTTCGAGTGGCTCTTCAGTGCTTGCCGCTGCTGCTGCTCCTGCTGCTGTTTCTGCGGTTCCTGTTGTCGTGTTTCTGCTGCAGTCCCTGGGCCTTTTCAGAATGCCTCCTGTGTGCGTGTGTAGCTGCAGCTGCTGCTGCTTGGGCATGAGGAAGCGAGCTAGCTGGTCGGGCAAAATGTCTGTGGTGTACATACACACCACCGAAATCTGCTTTTCATACCCCAATGCCTTAACAAAGCTGCAGGCGCTGCTGCAGCTTTTCCTCTCCGCCTCAAAAGCCAGAACTCGACGGGCTCCCTCCCGCGCAGCATTTACAGAGAGCAGTGCAAAGGGCCCCGTCCCAATCTCAATGACAAGGGGGCCCCTGGGGCCTCCGCAGAGGCCCCTTGAGGGGTCCCAGAGGCTCCCCAGGGGCCCCCAAAAAGCCCCCCCGAAGTACATCTTCAGGGCCTGCTGGTACGCGCCCACTCGCTGCAGATCTTCTGTCATAGAAATGTGATTTCGAAGGCGAAAGCGAGAAGTAATGCTGCTGCAATTAAGGGTCTCTTTAGGCAGCACCATTTGCTGCAGCACGCGCTGCTGCACCAGATGGTCTATTTTGTCCTGCAGAGTAGGCTGCTTCGGCTGCTGCTGCTGCTCCTCGTTCTGCTGCTGCTCCTCCTCCTGGCACTGCGCCTCCTTCTGCACAGCCTGCAGCTGCTGCTGCTTTTTTTGCTCCTGAAATCTTTGCTCCAGCTGGCGCTGCAGCAGCGCTCTCAAAATCGCCACCTCTGCGGTCACGCCTTGCTGCTGCTGCTGCTGCACCGGGACTTTCTGCTGCTGCTGCTGCATTCTCATTTCCTGCTCCTTCTGCCCTTGCAACAAGTGTTTCTGCTGCTGGAGCTGCTGGAGCTGCAGAAGTAGGTGCTGCTGTAGCAGCTGCTGCTGCCGCTGCAGCTGCTGCTCTTCCTGCTGCTGCTGCTGCAGCTCCCGTCGCCTGCTTCTTTTCTCCTCCAGCCTTTGCCTCAGCTGGAGCTCCAGCTCGGCGATAGAACGCTCTCGTGAGCTTCTGAAGTGCTGCACTCTCTGCTGCAGTTCTTGTTGCTCCTGAAGCTGCTGGTGCAGCTGCTGCTGCAGCAACTGCTGGTGCTGCAGTTGCTGCTGCTGCAGCCGCTGCAGATGGTGCTGCCGCTGCGCGCCCTGAGGCACAGCATCCCGCTCTTGCAGAGATTCGCTGTAGGCGAACTGCTGCTGCTCGTTCAGTTGCTGCTGCAACTGCAGCTGCTGCCCTGGATTTTGCTGCCTCTGCCGCCGCTGCTCCGCCAGCTCCTGCTGCTGCCTGTGCAGCCGCCTCAATTCCAGCAGCCGCCGCCGTCTCTCTTCAAGCTGCAGCCGCTGCTGCTGCAGGCGTTCTTGTTGCTGTAGCAACTGCTGATCCCGCTGCTCTTCCAGCTGCTGTTGGTCCTGCAGTCGCTGTTGCTGCTGCTGCGCCGTCGCATGCCGCTGCTGGTGCAACTGCAGCTGCCGCTGCAGACGCTGCTGTTGCTTCTGCTGCTGCTCCCGTCTTCGCTCTTCCTCCAGCTGCTGTCGTTGCTGCTGCTGCTCCTCTCGCTTCTGCTCCCCTTGCTGTCCCCCTCGCTGCTGCTGCTGCTGCTGCTGCTGCTGCTGTTGCTGCTGCTGCTGCTGTAGCTGCTGCTGTTGCTGTTGCTGCTGCTGTCGCTGCCGCTGTTGCTCCTGCTGTTGCTGCTGCTGCCGACGCTGCCGTTCCTGCTGATATTGCTGCTGCTGCCGCTGCTGCTGCTGCAGCAAATCGAGGTAACGCCGCGCCTCGTCTGCCCGCTCGACCGCTACTCGGGGCCGTTCTGTTGTCTGCCTATCCAGCAGCATCCGGAGGCTCCCCATAAGAGCCCCGATGTTAGTGGTTTCCTGCAGAAGCAGCAGTAGCAACAGCAGCAGCGGCACAGCGGCAGAGCGTTCACATACGCAAGTGTATGTATATGGTCGCACCAAATAGATGCTTCTGCCCGTCCTGCTGCTCCTGCTGCAGCTGTGCAGAAGCAACTACGGAAAACTGTGACCTATTGGCCCAAAAGATGAGCTGAGGGGCCCCAGGAGGCCCCAAGGGCCCCCTTGGGGCCCCTCAGCTCATCCTTCGGGCCAATGGGGGCTCTCGGGACCCCTGGGGTCCCCTTGAGGCCCTCGGAGGGCCTCCTTTGGGGCCCCCACCTTGTACTGCTTCAGTTGTGGAAACGTTAGTACATTAAGAAGGGGAATGAACTCACATTTTCCATGCTGGTCTTCTTGCGAGCTCTTGAAATCAAACCATTTAGTGTTGCTACTCCAGCAGCAGCAGCAGCGTGCTGTTGTCGGTGCTGCTATAGGTGCTGCTGCTGCTAGCCTCCGCAATGCGCTGCCTGCTATATGTTGAGGTGCATGAGGTCACACGGTGGAGCAAAGGCTCCGTACTGGGATAGCTGTTGCGTTTCCCTAGCTGCTGCTATGGCTGCTGCTGCTGCTGCTGCGGCGGCGGCGGCGGCGAGAGATGTGCTCTATTTAAAAAGCAAATAAGCATAATCCACAAGCATATGACAAGCTGGTGTCAACTTCACCCTCTGTTTCCTTTGCTATCAACGAGCTGCACGGCTGCGCTGCTGTTGCGAAGTCCTGGCTGCCACAGGTTAGGCCGGGATGTAAAAGCAATTTGTATTAGTGCGATGCGATTCATGTGTGTCTAAGTGGCTGATGCTGCTGCTCCTGCTGTTGCTGGTGCTGCTGCTGCTGGGAAGACACGTGAAATGCGAAAAGGTCACGTGTTGTCCAGCAGATAGTCAGGTCGGCTGAGAGTTGACAAGCGACACAGACGCGAAATACAAAACAAAAAAAGCAAAGCAATTAAAAGAGCATATCATTTCCGACTCTCCATCCTGCTGCTGCTGCTGCTGCCGCTCATACTGCTGCTGCAACTGACCATGCTGCGCGGTTGGTAGGTACACAGCCGAACACGCCGTGCTGCCTGAAACTGCAGCAGCGGCGACGCCTCTCCTGCTGCTCTATTTAAACGAAAGTAAGCACTAAATTAAGAAATTGTTTTGCTCTAATATTATTTATCATCAGGCTAAAGAAAGGGACCAAATCTACTGAAAGTTCCGGGGCTTGGTCTGGTGGAACTGTCGGCGGTGGGGGCCCCCCACCGTTGTTGGTGTTTCTGGGAAGTCTACAGCAAAGGAGGAGTGGCCGCTGGCAGATCGAGTGGAATCTCATGCTTTTACTGCTATTAAGGATCATTTCACCCCACTTCACCTCCGTCCTCCACTAACAAGAGCATTTTACGGCGTAGAGTCACAAATGAAGTGGATCTATTGCCAAAGGTGCAGCGCTTTGTCCGCAGCAGCAGCTGCATCAACAGGAGCAGCACAGCTCAAAAAACAAAGAAGTCACGTTAGCTACGAATCTTCAGACACAGCAGCTCCTTCTAGCTTTAGCTTCATCAATACTTCCGTAATTCAAAGCCAGCATATACCAGGGCAAGAACGGCACAGCCTCATGGCACCTGTGAGCACGTTAGCCGCAATTCAAGTTTACATTCATGTGCGTGAAAGTCACGCCATATAAATAAGAATACCTTCACTTCACAGACATAAAGAGAACTACATTCATGGGCAAACTTGGAGCGGGTCCTAGCATCACTTGAAGGCTAAGACTCGGCAGCTCTGCGGAAGGCACCTAAGGAACGAAAACCCCCAAAACGCTGTATAAAAGGGCCCAGACTTAGCCGCACTGGGTGGCTGGGTGTATTAGCAGCCAGCAGCTGAGGCAGCCTTCAGAAAGCCTGCAGTGCAGGCGGGGCTCAGAGCCCCCAGCCAAGGCTTTAGCCTACAGGTGCGAAAGCTGCAGCAGCGACTCTCTCACACTGAAGTCCAGACTTGCAATGGGCCAGGGTATAACACCATCTGGCCCGCCGCCGCGCAGCCACGGGGCGCAGCATCTGCTGCTGCCGCTGCACTCGTGGGCCAGCCCGGGCCTGCACATTGGCCTCCCCGCCCGAGATTCCTTGCGCAGCCGCCGCCTTGGCCGCTGGTGTCCAGAAGCTATTATTTTGCTGCTCTTCCCCAGCAGCTAGTTCATATCGAGTGGACCCTACGGGCCCCCCTGAGGGCCCCCAGGGGCCCCCCCAAGGCACTTTAGGGACCCCCAAAGGGCCCCCTTGCTGCTTGCTGCTGCTGCAGCAGCAGCAGCAAATGGGGGCCCCTTGGGGGCCAGCACTTTTGCTCTTTGTTCTGCCCGCTGAGCCGTTTACTTGCTGCTACTTTCTTTACAGCACAGAAGCCACTCCTGAAGATGCAAAAGTTTGCACTAAGCCTCTTTGCTGCAGCCCCACAAGGCCCTAATCCATAGACCTGTTTGCAGGCGCTCGGGCTCTCAGCTTCCCGGAGTGACTACAGGTCCAGAGCACTGCTGCGCTGCTGCTCGGGGCGCTGCAGCAAAAGGATTCCACTTTTGTTTAGCCGCTGCAGCAAACCCTCAGCCCCCGGCCCTGCTTCCTGCCGTTAGTTCTGCTGCTGCGATCGTGCAGCAGCAACTATTTAGGCTGCTGCTGCTAGCGCTGCTACTGCTGAGAATGCAAGACTGCCACTCCTGGGATTACTAAATGCCAAAGACTTTCCCTTGCCGTTTCTGCTGGAGGGAGCACTCATCGCAGCAGCTGCTGGCAGCAGAAATCAGCCTGCGCAGCAGAGGTTATGGGCTTCACTGAAACTAATCAGAAGAAGATTATTTAAACAAAAGCAGCAGACAGCAAAAGCTGCAGCAGCAGCAGCTGTTGGAGCAACAGCAGTAGCACTGTTATCAGTGTGAGCAGCAACTACTACGCTGCTGCTGCTACGAATGCTGCTGACCCTGCATAGCACACAATAACTTCAGCCAGAAGCAGCAACAAAGTCATTCGCTGCTGCTCCCTCCTGCTGCCGCTGAAGCAGCAAAAACAACAGTCAGGTACTGCACGGCCGGTGCCACACTGTGAGGCTCTTGAAGCAGGCTAATACCTGCTGCTGCTAAGTATTCAGCAGCAACTGCTGCAAAATAGGCAGCAGTATCTGCAGCAGTAGCTGCTACTGTGGTTTCAAACGTAAAAGGCTTTCAATCCGCACATTGTTCTGCCGCTGACTGTGTGCCTACGCTACCACGGGCTCGGCTTATTTCGCCCCAATATAGTCAACAAAAACAAAGGAAATACCATTTATTGAGTTGTATTTTGCGTTAATTCTTTGCTTTATTTTGCACCTTGCTGGAGCTCTGGAGGTAGGCGATTTGGCAGCTGGGCGCCGACCGACGGGGGCCGTACGCTGCCCCCGTAACGGTCATTCACGGCGCATGCAGGAAAGAAATGATACATCTAAATTATAAATAAATGCAAAAAAAACTTGATTTCATTGAAAAATTAAGAGTATCCATTCCGCGTTCTGTCCGTAACAGGCTGGGGGGCCCGACCATTCCAGCAGCCCCCGACAGCAGCCCCCAGAAACAACACCTCCTCCCCACTGGCAGCTGCAGCAAATACGGAGCAGCAGAAGCAGCAGAAGTGTCATGAAAAATAAAGAAGCCGCAGGTGTATGTACACCAGAGCGTTTATCACTTGCTCCGACATCTCTTTTGCTTCACGGTTTTCGCCCTCCAATTTGACAAACTCAAGGGCAAGACAGAAATCTGCTGTGCGCTCCGCGCACACCTGCTTTGCAGCTAAAAACAAAATAATGCAGTGGCTGAAACACCTCTGCCAGCCAGCCTCAAGTGGCGTTCCCGTGGCTCATGCGTGGTAGTAGCAGCAGCAACAGAAGCGGCAGTTCTGCAGCAGCATCGGCAGCGGCATGGGGAGGGAGCTGCAGCAGACGCCACAGCAACAACAGCAGAGGCTGACGCAGCAGCTGCAGCAGAGCCTACAGCCGCAGTTGCAGAAGTGGATGTAGGAGCTGCTGCAGCAGGAGGGGCAACGGCAGCAGCAGCACCTGCAGCAACGCAGCAAGCCGTAGCCGCTGCTGCTGCAGCAAAGAGCAGCACCTCCGACAGCAAAATATTCCTCGAATTTCCCTGCGGCGCCTCAGCAGGAAATATGAGAGCAGCTGAGGCAGCAGGCACGGGCCCTCCCGCTCCAGCTGCCTCAGCTGCATCCCGCCGCAGTCCCTCCCCGTCTGCAGCAGCAGCAGCAGCAGGAGAAGCGGCAGCAGCTGCAACTGCAGCAGCAAACAGAAAAGAAAAAGTGGCAGAAGCAGCAGCAGATGCGGCGGCTTCAGCGTCGACTGTAAAGCGGGCGGCGTTGGCCGCCCTCAGAACAGCAGATTTGTCACCGGCCAAGCGCCTGCACAGGGAGACTCTGCAGCAGCAGCAGCAGCAACAGCAGCAGCAGCAACAGCAGCAGCAGCAACAGCAGCAGCAGCAGCCCTCAAGCCCATTGATGCGAGCTGCTGCCACTCCCCTCAGGACCGGTAGGAAGGGACAAGAAGCCGCAGCCTCCAGTGCCTCTCTACCTGCAGCGTCCGGAGCAGCAGCAACAGACTCAGCAGTGGCAGCAGCCGCTGCTGCTGCAGCGGCAGAGGCAGCAGAGGCTGTCTCCCCCATAGGCTCGCCTGCCCCTCCCCGTCGCGTCCAGCAGCAGCAGCGCGCGGGGGATTTGCTGCAGCAGGCTTCGACGCCCATCTCATCCAGCAGGCCCAGACCCCCAAGCAGCAGCAGCAGCAGCAGCAGCAGCAGCAGGAAAGAGCCCAGCCTTGCTGCCGTTCCACTGCCATTTAGAAAAGGTTTCAATAGGGTAGCTGAGGCGGGGGGCCCCCTGCGGCTGCCGCAGCTGGGAGCCCTTTTTGGGTTTTTGGGGGACTTGAGGGCCCCCCTGCCGCTGCTGCAGGTGGTGGGTGCTGCTGGCAGCGGCAAGAGCTTCTTGCTGCAGCTGCTGCTGGCAGAGTGCAGCGTGGCTCACGGCTATGTCGATGCTGCTGCTGCTGCTGCTGTCGACGGCTCAGCTGGCCGCAATTTGCTGTACCTACGCCTGCTGCGCAGTCTTTCTGCTTCTCTCAAGCACGAGGCAGAGGCCTGCTGCGAGCCTTTATTTAAGCATCAGCAGCAGCAGCAGCAGAGCCAGGAAGCAGCGGAGGGCCTGAAAGATGAAAGCTTTCAGAAGCTGCAGGGGCAGCTAACGGTGCTGCAGCAGCAGCACAAGCTGCTGCTGCAGGAGTGCAGCAAAGCTTCCAAAACGAGAGTGACCGCACCTGACGCCTTCATAGAGATGTTGGGTCAGCTGCTGACTGCTTCAGGTGGAGCCCTTGGAGCAGCAGCAGCAGCAGCAGCAGCCGCAGCAACGGCAGGATGGGAAGGCGCTGCTGCAGTGCAGCAGGAAGCGACGGACCGTGCAGCAAGAAGCGCCGTGCTGCTTGTGGACGGGACGGAGTCGCTGCGGCAGCTGCTGCCTGAGCTGCTGCAGGCGCTGCTGCGTCTTCCCGAGCTGATGTACGGCTGCGACTTAGCAGCAGTAACGGCCTCCGCCAGCAGCAGCAGCAGCAGCAGCAGCCGCGGGGTGTGCGTGGTCCTGATCGGGCGGCGGCCCCTGGCAGCAGAGGCCCTTGACGGGCTGCCGCCTCCCCCCTTAGTTCGCTTCGAAGCTTATGGCCGAGACGCAGCAGCTTTTGTGCTGCAGCGCAGCTTCTTCTCGCTGGGGCTGCCGCTGCTGCAGGTGGCGCTGCA